GGATCCACTTTTTTAAAAAAAAAGGATAAAGTGGTGATATCACAACCTTTTCCCCAACAACCCACCAAAAGCGGGTGTTCCATAAAAGTTGGCACACCTTCTTTCCTTTTGGCCGGGATAAAAACAAAAAACGGGAGCCGCGCCGTTCGCCTTGATGCTGCCGAATTTGCAGGACCAGCAGATGGTGGCGGACCCCAACCCTGACCTGGAGGGTGAAGAGAAGGAGCGCGGCGTTGAAACCGAGCTCCCGCTTTGGGGCGTTTCTCTCTTTAAAAAAAAAAAAAAACATATATATATATATATATATAGGGATTTGGAGCTCCCCAAAATGGATCGATCAGCTTTTAGATCCATTTTTCCGGGGGTGAAAAAGGACGGGGGTCCTTTTTGGGGATGCTTTGTGTTTCCTCCACGGGAAACCAGGAACCTGACAGCGGCTGACAGCGGCTCTCAAGGCCTTCTCAGGGATTCCACGCTTGAAACCTCCCGAGTTACATACTCGATCGCCGACTCGGCCTCGGTCAGGACAGAGGAGTCAAGGCTTTCAAGCTGGATGAGACCTCGCCAAGCTGGGAGGACAGTGCGACTGGCGCGCAGAAGTCGGAAGTAGCCCGCATTGCGCGGGTTTCGGGCACCATTTTTTCTGGAATTGAAGGGTTGCCCTGTTGAGGCGAGTATTGGCTGGAAATGTTCAAGGAAGACCTGCGGCTTGAATTGGGGGATTAGTCTGGGTTTGCACTAGCCATCTTGCCAACATAGAACCTGAAAGGGGGTCCCTTTCACAGCTTGGGGTCCTGATGTCTTCCGAGAGGTGTCGAGGAAAGAACCAGAAACCAAGTTCAGGTGGTTCATAGTGATGTGGTACTGGATTGGTTCGTCTCCAAAATGCAAGTTGCTTGATTATCTACCCTCGTTCTTTTTCCGGAAAACATATCGGGAAAGCCTGTGCTGCTTTGTTTGAGCCTCCATCTGAACTTGTCGGGGGTATACTCAACAGGTTCTGTAGGCTTACGTAATTCATGTCCGTCGCCGCCAGGCAGGGCCTGGCAGGGCTCTTATTATTTTCACCAGGTCGGCAGTTGTTTGTCTGTTCAATTTTAGTAAGGGGCTGCACACAACAAAGTTTTTGCTAGCGGACCAAGTTAATTGGACCTTGCCATTTGTGCCATTGACACGCATGAGCCTATTCTTGCGAAACAAGTCAGTCTGTGCCGGCCACACTAGCCTACACTTTTTAGGGAGGCAGCAGTGACAGAGGCGTGCAAATGTTCTTCAGCTGTGGTCAGTTGGGAATCCCGTTATGTGTTCGCTGCGATTGAATCGTTCAGGTTTGACGGGCTAGCCATTTTCTTGTTGGTTGGGCATGTATGTTCGCCACTGGCACGTATCGTGTTGTGTGTTGTGCGGCAGACCTCTGGAATCCTCTGGATCCAGAAGCACGCTGAGAGGTAGGAGCTCGAGGCTTTCCAACCCAGGGATCAGGGATCTGAGAACATGGGGTTCGAGACTGCCCAGGCTATGTTCGTGATTCTCATTAATGTTGACCCAGGATTCATAAACCCGTCCCACTATTAGGGGGGTGTTGGTTCCAAAAGTGGTCTGACTCCCCACTAAACGGGGAGCCCCCCGATCAAAATCAACCAGGGGTTGAACTTCATCCGGGGTTATCATTTTAACATAATGGAGCAGGGCCAGAGCCAACTCGACCTTTGCAGGAGTTCCTGAAGAACAAGGGGATCATTGAGATGGACCTCAACAACTTCCTGCTGAGTCTTGGCGAAAGGGATCTAAAGGGAAAGCGAGGGAAAGAAGAAACCCTGGTCGCCCAGCCTGGAATAGAACCGAATCTCCGGAGTTTCCATGATTTTCCCTTCTCGAACAGCGAGAAAGATCTGGAATCCACGGGGCAATTTCCCTTTTTGGGCGGAATTGACAAAGGAAGCCCAAAAGAAATCAACCGTTTCAGTGGTTCCCCCCGTTTTAAGAAACCCACACGCGCACCTGCAAGTCTGCTCTTTGGGGAGTTCTTGGTACCATTTTCAGCTTGGTTGGAAGGACAACCGAACGGACAACTGAATCCATTTTGGGGGATGACACCATTTTATGACACCCATTTTTCGAGCTGCAGCTTCCATGTGAATTCTTTTCAGGCATCCGAATATGTTTTTAAGACGCGGGAGGTTTCTGAAGATGACGATGAAGAGATGCTCCTTTTTGCACCCCACGGGCATAAGAAACACCAGCCATCTCGACCAGTCCCATAAGCTGGTGTGAGTGTGCGTTTTGCCAACCAGTTGTCCCGTAGATCGTCCTGAATTGGGGGGCCTACCCAATGTTCGAGAGGGCTTCACATTTTGTGCACGCAATTGCATAGCTCGGAAAATAAGTCCCCTGAAATGGCCTTTATGGTTTTACCATCCAAGTCACCAAAATGGGTAGGTTGAAGGGACCAAGCCCTCCTGGTTGTTGTTGGGAACCATGTTGCATCTTTGCTTATTGTGTTTGAAACCCCCCACTTACCTGCTGTTTTGTTTTGCTCCCCTTCCAACGTCAACCAAGCCCTGTTTCTGATTCTCGAGTTGACCTCAGCACCAGTCACTATAAATTTAGGATTCTTGCCATGAGAACAAAGAGACGCGCACCCACAAGCACAGGACCCTCTTTGAGGTCCCAGACCTGGCAGATTGTTCAACCGGCTGGTCTTCCGAAATCCCCCGACTGAGCCATGGGAGTCTAAGTGATGTTGAGGCTCGGTACCCTTTCAGTGTGGTTTTCAAGGGACATCAAAAGGAACACATGCACCAAGATCCCCAGGCTAGCCCGCCGCGTCACTTGACCCGATCCGAGAGGGTGTCCACTTGCCCCAGGCTGCCCTCAGTGAAAAAGGAGGAGATATCCGCTAGCGGTCTACTGCATAAAGGGTATATGCTTCCTTCCACAGGCGGCTTGTTTGGGTCAGTTTGGTCGTGCAGGTTGGTGCTAATCATCTGCCAGTGCCATCTATTTTACCAAAAGGACCCCTGTACCTCATGCCCATTTCCAACTCATCCCTCCCCATTTTCTTGATTTGCTGAGGCTTCAGCCCCATTTTCGGGAATCCATCCCTACATTTGTTGAGACCTCCCCATCTTCAGCCAGATCTTGGGGAACCCATCCCCATTTTTCCGAGAGCCCCCCCCCCCCCCCCCGTGGCCCCGTGGTTTACCTGGAAAAAACAAACGGCTGCGAGTTCTTTGAAGACACCCGAGGAGCGTGAACGTCCCCTCGAAAGCACTGGGCCTCCATAAGGACGAGCAGGCCATCGGATCTGATTGGAATGGGAGATGGGTGGCGCGTCTTTTCAGGGTAATTATCGTCTTGGGGTTTGGTTGAAAGAGAAACGAAAAGGAGGCACCATGTTTGGGGTCCCGTACCTCTCTGGCTAAAGCGCTTTAACCATTCCTTTGCTGAGTTGGCGAACTGGTTTGCACTGTTTGCTGGTTCTGGCTTCAACAATTCCGTTGGCTGTTGTTGGTTTCCTTTTTGCTGGTAGGGTTGCCCATCATTTTCGATCCCAACATGCTGATGCACTTTTTTGGTCAGTCAGGTCAGTAGGTTCCCCCACCCTGGGATCCAGTCAGTGCAGAGAATGAGAAATGGAATGGCACCCCCCCAAAAAAACACCATCCAACTGGTGGTTTCCTTTAGATGGATTCATGCCCAAAAGCCTTGGTGATTCCTTACTGCGAACCATCAAGATTAAACTGGGCCCTTTCAAGTAGGCTGGCATTTTGAGGGACTTCCCTTGAAAGTGATGTTTATTGGCTGCAACTCCCTTTTACTTCTGAGGATGCCGCGCAACGCCCTCAAGGGTGAACCCAAAAAGAGAAAGTGAGGAGTAAATGTTCCCCGAAGCATGAGCTTTTTCAGGGTCCCCCATTTTAAGACACACTATGGCTGTCATAGGTCTGCTTTGGGGTCCGGGGGGGAAATCTGTGGCATCCACTGTGGAGTGTCCAGGGTCTCACATGTTCAAAGGCACCTATGAGGGCATTGACCTCTTGACCCCTTTATGTTCTAGAGGGTGAAGGCCTCAGGGCCTCAGAAAGGTGTTTTTGTTCTTCCATTTTTGGGCCTGACTGGTGAGGTCGGGCAACTGGTTGGTGGGTGGATTGGATTGGCTTGGGGATTTGTAGCCTTGCTTCTTGTGGAGGGTACCTGGGAACCCCCCCCCCCCGGAAACTTAGGTGACCCACTGGCAAGCCCCCCGTTCAGTGGAGATTCTCCTGTTAGGGGGTAAAAACTCAATAGTAGGCTAACCACTTTACTTGGCAACAAAGATCCAAGTAGGTGGTTCTACCTGTGTCTTTCTTTGAGATGCTCGTTTTGGGATGGTTTCCCTTTGATTTCCCTTCAAAGGCCAACCGCCAAAAGACCGAAAGGGTACTCGGGTGTTCGGCCAAGTCAGTAAGTTTATAACCCACTTATAAGTCCCCACGTTCGGTGGGGCAAACCTTGTTAACAGGGGCGGGGTGAAAAGCACCCAATAGGCTAACCACAGACACGAACTTGGCGAATCGAACCTCCAAGCAATGCTTATTTGGTAAGTGTTTAGCCACTGTCACCTCTTACAATAGACGGTAAATAATGGCTGTTGCCCATAGTGCTTGTTGAGGGTACCGGCGAAAATGGACCACCCTTGGTTTCCGGGTGCGGGTGCGGTATCAGCTGAGGCTCAATGTCGGGTGAATCAACCGAAAAGCTTAGGGTGGGGAACCCAAAAAGCAAGAACAAACGCACAAATGGACGGATCCCCGTGCTCATCCTGGATTCTGATGACAGGTGGAGTCTTTCATTTCTTTTTTTTATGCGTCTTATAAACTTTGTGGTTGACTTTTGTATGGGTTGCAATAGCCCACGTTTTGTGGTAGTTTGAGGGTCCAGGGATACATATCTTGTACGGTCGTGTGAGAGGTGCTGAGGTGACTCAAAGCGGCCAGGTGGTGGCTGCCTGGTCAGAGATGGAGCGTATGAGGCGCGAGTTCTTCACAGATCCGTGGAATGGATCGAGTGGCTAGGCCTGTGGACCCATATGTGCCATGGCCCGAAGATCCTCTCTGTTTCTTTTCTTCTTCTTTTTTGGGGGGGATGGATGTGTTTTTTTTTGTTTTTGTTTTTTTTTGGGGGGGGTACCCAAAGAGCATCCAACGCCATGAACATCCTGCGCCATTTGCCGGCGAGCGATTCACTAGTTCGGTTTCTGCGGCAGAACGAGCTTCAGGTTTTTTGTTGAATCCCCCGTTGGATTTCTGATATTTGGTTGGTGCACTGGAGTTAGGGAAAGCTCTCTCCTTGGACCTTATCATTCTTGGGGTGAATTCGACGTTACTGGCACCATGTTGCTTTACCGCGTATCGAAGCCTGTGCTCGGGTAGAAGGGAATTTCTTGAACCTCCCCAGTCAGACGAAGGATCCTCTTCGAGCTGTGGGTCCCAGTTTGCGTGAGTTGGACCCGCAGAAGGGCGCCCGGTCTTCGTTTTGTTGCTTGTTTTTTTTGGGGGGGGAGTGCGTTTTCTCGCCGGCAAGATCCACACATTTCGGGGGGAAGGGGCAGCATTAGTCTACAAGACAGCAGCAAGGATCAACCATCTGCTGCCCAGTTTGTCCAGAGTTCAGTACAGACGTCATGACTGACGGACGCCAGCTGCGGAGGGGGAGTAAGAAGACCCATCTTGACACCGACGCGCCAAGGGCGAGTCCTTTTCCTCGCTGGCAAACCTGTGTTTGGGTAAATGGTGATCACGAGGCGCAACCGGGCCGAACCATAGTGGGAACTCCGGTTAAACATATTGGTTGATTTTGATGCGGGGGGATGTCCATGCCCTTTCAGTGGGAGTTCAGGCCACTTTTGGCGGGGAAAAATGACTTTTTGCACTTTTTGTTTCTAGGGATTTGGAGCCTAGAACTGGTGGTCTTCTTTTCCCGCGGAAAAACAAGAGAAGAAACAAAACTGGTGGTCTGCGTTTCCCGCGGAGGAAAGAAAAAGCGCGCCATCGGCAGGTTCAGCGATTTGGGGCCCTCGGTGCTGTATGGGCTCGTTGTGGTGGGCTTGGCCCGGACCTCAGAGCTGAAACGCTCGGTGAGAAGGTCCGATGGCGTCTTTCCATCGGACCGTTGCTTGGAAAACCACTAAAGATGATCATACAATATGGCCATGGGTCAAGAGCCCGTACCCCCAGTGAACATCCCAATCCCCACTAAAATAGACTAAAATGGGCGGTGCAGTGGTGCACCTACCCCAAAATGGTACCATTGGTTTTGACCCCAGCCATATGACTTTGGTTGATCAAAACCATGGTAGCTCTTCCCAACAAGATGATATGTTAATTATTTCAAGTACATGATGGAACAAAAACCCGTCATTTGGGGCCGAACGGAATATAGGTCAACCCCAAATGGGGGGGGGGGCCGGCAGTTTGACACCTTTTGCACAAGTGGTATGGGGAACTCTAAATAAAAAGACAAAGTTCGATCTAACTTGCTGTTTCTTGATTGGACGGATCGGAAATGAGTGAGCAGTTGGTTGGCTATTTCAATTGTTTGACCAAAAAGCAAAGCGGAGGTGTCCATGCACCAGCCAGGAAAACACCCTCCAGAGGGAGGCGCGGGCTCTCCATTGGAAGGATTGAGACCCCAGAAGACTGACGACCAGAGTGGCAACCGCTTCGCGTTGGCCCATCCGTTCCGGAATCGAGAAGGGCCTGCGGGGTTTCTCGGAAAGTACCTGCCAAGTTTCTGGGCAAGCAAGCACTTTGAACTCTTTGAACCGGTATCCACGGTTTTCGGGTCTCCCAAAAAGCAGCTCATTTCAACTTTCAGTCCCCGAAAGCCTGAGAGAGGACATTGGCATATTGGCAACTCCCCCCTTTCGCCCACACCCAGCACCGCCAAAAACACTCCGGCTTCTCGGCGCTGCGCAACTTTCCAGTTGTCTAGGTCCAGCTAGGTGCCCCTTGTAAACCCCTTTTTTGGGTGAGGGTTCCCCTCCTAAAATAGACGTCCAGAAAAAAAATGGGTACCAACTTATTCTAATCCCTACTACTGGAGGACTTAGTTAGGTTTACCCTGAAGAACCGTATTCTCCCCTCGGAAAAGCACGCGGCGGTTTTCTCAGAAGGTGCAGGTGTTGTTTTTTCTTCGGCTCAGGTGCTGCTACTGGCGCCCACGCAGAAGGTGGAAATCCAGGGCCACGTCATGGTGGGCGCCACTAAGGTGCTTCGCCGGGCGAGTGGGGGCCAGCGACGGGCGCTGCGGAGGGATTTTTTTGTTCTGCCCCCTGGGGTGGGTTCAGTGGCTGTTTTTTATTTTTGTTTTTATTTTTTTCCGGGGGTCCGTTTTCAGTTTTTTCGGCGTTCCGGTCGGTTTGAGCAGGAGGCCGCGGAAAACAAGCTTTTTTTTGCTAGCTTGGCAAGGGTTGTGCAGATGTTGCTTTATGCTTTAGGGGTCACTGAATATGGAGGACCTGTGTTCTTGGTATCACGCAATTATCGCTCAGTATGCACTACAATCGAAGCATGTTGTGTTTGCTTCGGCGCAGAACAACAACTGAGACTGTTGCGTTGCTCCGAGCGAAAGCGATTTGGCTACTAACTCTGAAGTTTTGGAACACAATCGAACTTGGACAAGCAACAACTGTGTACATTCTAGGTTTGGGTTTGAATGACCAAGCAATGGTATCCATTTTGAGGTTGCGTCAAGCGGCAAGTAAGGAGTTGTTTGGGGCCCCAGTACGACATTCATCGATCGCTTGGGTTCATCTGAAAGGTTTGAACCATGGCCGTGTCTTCTTTTGAGGGGAATCTTAATTTTGGCGCTGCTTCCAAATTCATATTTGAGGGGAGTCCATCATTTTGAGAGGATTTCATGTCATGATCCACAATCAGAACCCGGGTAAATGCAAGCTAGCAAGGAATAATCCCAACCACAAATGGGTGCAGTCGCCTGTTTAATTCTTTACATGGGTCTGGGTCGACCATTTGCAATGACGAAAGCCTCTTTTGGACGGACAACGGTAGTTTCAGTGAAACACACCAGTAAACTCTTGGTGGTTCCGAGCCATCCCTCTTGGCATTTTCCACTAAACCACTGACAGTTAGACTTTTAGAAGGGGATCGGCGAATAGCCCGGACCTGACTAACCCTTCGAATCCGGAGATCCAGAGACCCTAGATCAAACTGGTCAATCTCTTCAGGATCCACGCGGAGAGTCCTCTCCTTGGTGATTGGTGTTTTTGTTTCCGACCAGAAAACTGAGTGCCCATCATATCAGGTGGTGACAATAATACTGAGTGTTTGCGCCTCCTGGAGCAGTGGCTTGTCGTGGCTCGCCGTGAGCGGGCGTCTGTGAACCGCCGCCTCGCGCGAGACGGGCGCTCGCAGCGGCTTGCCTTGTCACGCTCTGGGGATGTGCGCGCCTGGCTCGTACGGCGCCCAGTACGTTCCTGACAAAGTCTGATATTTTGCTTGGGGCTCGACAAGAGTGGTCAGCCCTGTTGCAAGAACCGCCTACTGCGTGGTCCCACTGGGGTGTGCTGCGCTGGGCGGACGCTGCTGGGGTGTCACGGGGATCGCTTGATTTCCGCAACATTGTTCGGGCCCAACTACAGCCGGGAGAGTCTCACGTGGCCTGGGCCCTTCTGAGCAGTGGCCCCTGGGCAGTTCACCGCTGGAATGTCGCCGTCCTCTCCAGCCGCGTGGTTCGTGTTGGTCAGTGGCCCTCTCGCCTTCCTCCTGTGTCTGGCGCTGCGCGTGTTGTTGTTGAGGTTTCTGGCTGCTGCATGCCATCTGGCTCGGCTCCCAGCGCTGCTCCACCTGCACATGGCGGCGCAGCGTCCCTTCTCGGTGTGCAGGAGCTCTACAACCGACTCCTCACAATGTCTGGGACTTTTGCCATGCTCCCCCAGACCTTCTCTCTGGTCCAGTACCCATCCGGGGAAGCGGTGCTGAGGCATGGTGGCTTCCTTGACGAGGACCTCGTGCACCGCATCATGCAAGAGCTCAGTGGTGGGCGCTCGCGAGTGTCCTTGCACACCCCGGCCTTTGGGCGGCTCCGCCTGCGGGTGGCCGGGAGACGCATGAAGCGCCTGACTCGGTCCGTCTTTTTTGCAGAAAAGGCTCGCGCTTGCCGCCTTGCGTTTGCCCCTGAGCCCAGGTGGCCTTAACTAGCGACGTGTCAGTGGAAGTGCTCCTTGCCTTGGCTACGGGTTTTCCCGTTGGTCGCCCTCCAATCCAATCCAATCCAATCCAAGGTGGTGACAAGGCTGCTCTGTACCTAAGGTGGCCCCTGCACCAGGTGATTTTTGTCGGATCCTGTCTCAAAAGATAGACCCTGAAAAATACCAATGGTTTCCTTATGGGGTTTCCCTTTAAAAACTTTACTCTGCCGCCTGCGCAACGTCGGTAAATGGCACCTCAAAGCAAGGCCTTGATCTTGCCGAGGTATTGACTTGAAGCGTGGTAGTCAGCAGACAGCGCAGCCTCAGCCTCAATGGGGTTTCCCTCTAAACCGAGCAACCCTCTAACAGGGATCCCTCCACTTCTCTTCTTGGAGTCAATCGATCAGCTTTTGATTTGCGGGAATCCAGTGACCCCAAAAGCTAAACCAGGCAACACGGGGGTGTCCCTCGACCGCCTCAAAAGACCACAACGAGGCCCCTGCCATATGGATTGATCGGTCGATCGATCCAAGCGCCAGGTAGTGGAGGCAGTCGTGGCTGGGATCTTCTTCACCACCTTTCACGTCATCTTCCGCCGGGCGCCAAAAAACAGCAACCGAGGCACGCAGAGACCACACAAGCCGTGGGTGGCCTCTTTTTTTTGCGTGTGTGTGTGTGTTTTTTGCTCTTGCCTTTGGTTGGTGTTGTCGAATTCCTTTCATTTTGCGGGTATGATTCAAGCAGGCTGTGTTTGTGTTGTTCCCCAACAGCTGGATGCTATGGGGTTGGTAGGCCCAGATGGGCGATAAGGGGTAGTTTGGGGCAGTTTTCAAGAGGGCTCCGGAGGGTTCCGGAGGGTTGCGGTCTCGGTATCTGAGCGCTCGCAAGGGTTGGGCGATTTGATTTCCTGTTTGAGCCATGGTTTGCTCGGGTTCGGAATCTTAGAGAGTCGGAACGCCTGAAAATTGAATTGCCCGGGCCCTCAAACTGCCATGGCTAGGGTCCCTCAGTAGTGCCCTTTTACCCTTTTTTGGGGGAGGGTTCCCCTACTAAAATAGACGTCCTGAAAATGTTGGTACCCTTATTCTAACCTCTCTACTGGAGGACTTGGGCTTTCACCCAAACGATTCTGGGGTAAAGCATCCCATTCTTAGTCGGGTCAGGGTGGTGGACATTTCAGTCCTGAAGCGCATCCATAGCTTCGAGTCAGCGGATTGGCTTTCAGCAAGGCACACGGGGCGGATTTTTGGCGAAGCACGGTTTAGACAACCCCAGTTGCCCAGTCCAGTGGCGCTCTCCTTCAACCTCAAGCAACAAAGAAGGATCCCATGGCCACTGGGCATCTGAGCAACCATGGTTTAACACGGATTCATGGTTGAAACAGGTGTTTAAAGAATTCATGGTTACACGGGTTCTTTAAGCCTTGGTTCCCTGTTCTGTTTGGCACGAGCAAAGGAGTACGGAGGCTTCCAATCAGCCAGTGATTTGAATGAGTTGGCCTGACCCGAATCGAACTGAACCATCCATTTTGTGCTTGTCCAAAAGGATGCCGAAACGGTTTGCTCCCAAAACCCTTCCAAAGATTCAACTACTGAGAACCAACAAGTTTTGTTGGGGTTGGTGGGGATGGCCATGGCAGTTGCTTTGGGTTATACCGTGATACACCACTGCAAATATACCTAGGGTAGCGTTACAAACTGCTGGTACTACATCAGCATCCATTCCTCAAAAACCTTCTAGACATACCAACTTGATCTGCCCACAACTCCATGCATCTTTTTCCAGATCCCTCCACGTGGCTCCATGCGGCCTTAGGTGTTTTCCCTGTCAGCTTTGGATTAGTCAATCTGCTGAAATACTGCCAGGTTTCCTCGATTCCCCTTTTTGGAACTTCCAACAGTGGCGATCGGTTCAATAAAAGCCACCAGGAAATTGATCAACTTTTGATTTGGGGAAATCCAGTGAGCCTTGACTGGGGTGTTTTCCCCGGACAATTGAATTGACCCTCAACGGGACATCTCGCCGAAACTCAATCAGAGGTTCTGCTTCATCCAGTTTGGCTTGTTGTCCCCACCTGAAAGCTATGGGGTCTCTGCCCAGACAGGCTCTGCAGGATCCCAAAATTAGGCAAGCTCGCGACCGGGAAAAAAAAAAGAACGAGAATCAAAGCGCAAATCGGTTTACCGGGACCCTTGCACACAAGTTGCACACATGTTCCCTAAGGTTAAAGGTTCAAGCCATCAAGAGAACGGCGATCGGGGTTCCGGAGGGTTCCAGGGATTTGGGGGCTGGGATACCACCTGGCCGTATTTTGTCCAGCGGAATTCATGTATTTTACGGCACTAGTGTCGCTGGCATGTTTGGATCTTTGACTGTGCAAGCCTTGACTTTGCTAACTAATATTGCATAGTTTTCCGTTGTTGGGTTTAAAGATAATCCTTCACTGCCGGACTCTCATTTTTGTCCATGGCAAATGGAAGCAGCTACCTGAATAGATACTGTCACCACCCTAAAACTAACTTGGATATTCGGCCAAGTTAGAAAGTTGTAACGGTAACCTAGATTATTCGATTGTAACCCACTCAGAAGTCTCGTGAATGTGGGATTAACAACTTGTTAGGTAAAACATCCCAATTGGCGATCCCCACAGACACTAGCTTGACGAATCGAACATCCAAGAAGGGGGTTGTCAAACCATAGGGACTTTGGGACTTGTGGGACGGCGGGCCCACATAAATGGCAAAAAAAAAGCGGCAGCCCCAAGTTTCACCCCCCCAACTGCCGCGTCCGAGGCTTCTTCGTGGAGTTCCGGAACGCGATGCACGCGGTGGTGGTCACGGACATGCGGCTCTTCTACATCCGCCGATGCCTCGGAGCCGGACGATCGGACCTTCAAAGCCCAAAGGGGGAAGCTTCAGCTGGCCCAAAATGAAGGCACTTTTTTTTTTGGTCTTGCCCCAAAATGGCCTCGGAATCTTATGGGAACTTTAAATCAGACCGAGGGGGATTTCCCCTCGAGAAGAAGACTCGACGGCCTTTTTGGTGTTCCTGCAAGAAGGTGGATGCCCGAAGGCTTGCAGGGAGCGGTTTTGTGGTAGTCGCTTGGCTGACTTGCCATTTTCGGGCATCCACCGCAGGTACCGGTTGCTCCAAACCTCAACCCAACGTCTTAACATCTGTGTGTGAGTTGTTTTTGAGGGCACTCTTTTCAGGCACAAGCTGTTGTTGTTTGACTAAGTATGAGAGTCTGTGTATGTGTGTTATTTGGGTATGGGTCAAAACTAAACCACCAGGGGACCGCAGGTTTTAGTCCTTGTTTCCATTTACTAGGGGTTCCATTTGGGGTAACCATTTTTGACCCACACCCATTTGTGTACACTGTGTACACATTTGGGCTTCTTTGTGTGTGTGTGTGTCGGTTCCGCTTGGGAAGTCTGCAGGCAGGTGGGACTTCCACCGCACCGGAGGGCAGCTGAACCTTTGGCTGATTCGGGTGGAAGAAAGCAGCCAGCCTTGGGGACGAAGAATAGGGTAACCCCCAAATGGTTTGCCCTAGTAAGTGGAAATATGGGTCAAAACCTGCGGTCCATATCCTGGTGGTTTAATTTTGACCCATACCCATGTAGACACCAAAACACCCGTGTCGTCGTTGTCTTCATCGGCTACATCTGGGAGGTGATAAGCAACATGGAGATGGTTGGCAGGGATGGGGTCGCGGCAAATGGATGAGGTGCCTTGCTCAGAGCTTCAAGAGCGAAGGAACCGTGGAGACGACAGAGTGCGACATCTTCAGAAATGGACTGTGGGTCAAAAAGATGTTTCTAAAATGGCACCCTGGCAAATGGAACCAAAGACTCAAACCTGCGGTTCACCCTAGCTCTTTAATTTTGAGCCACACCCAAATGGTCCCAACAAGCTGGAGACCTACCTGCGCAACTCATCCATGACCGGGGCACTGGCCCAACTTTGGGGGCTGGGGCCCTTGTTTGAAGATTTGTTGGAGGGTCTCTTTAACGAAGTACCCCCGAGAAGGAGGATTTGTTGGGTGTCCTTGTGGAGGGATGTCCCTTTCAGCCCGATGATGTCCTGGTTGGTGGCAAAAAATGATGAGCTGACGCGGGAATCCAACAAGCTTGCCCTAACAAAGGGGTTCTTCCAAAATTTAGCGGATTTCAGCATTTTGCTGGAAACAGAGGTCGTTGATTGCTTGCTTGAACATGAAGCGAGTATTCGCACATCGTGGTTTCTCTTTACCGTGTTGGCCGGCACTTTGAGACTTCCTATACACTCTTGTTTAGGGGTACCATGTCAACCCTCTACTACAAAGGAGGTATTTACCATGGAAAGCATGTGATTCAAACAATACCCTAAGAGACAGGGTATTTTGGAGTAGGAGGTAAGTGAAACTCAGTTTGCAACATGGTGGCCCCTGTTTTTTGGGACACAAGGGGACCTGGATTCCATCGAGGGTCCCTCCATTTCCATTTTTGGGTTGTTCCCAACACAGGGGCCCCGTAAATTGCAAGCGTTCTTCCGTTTGCCCCAACATGTTGCGGGACCCCCTATTTAACATGTCCATACAATCAAACCCACCCTTGGATGTTCGTTGCCAAGTTAGTAAGTGGTTCGCCAATTGGTTTTTTTCACCTCTAACAAGGTTAGCCCCACGTGGGACTTCATAACCGAACGATTACAGCTACAACTTACTAACTTGGCACCGGACACCCAAGTACTTGCTCACTCCCTGAGAGCTTTTCCGGGTTTCACCATACGGTTATGACCAAGGTTATGACTGGGGTGGGGTGATCGTCCCCTGGTTATGAGCTAGCTTCAACCCCCAAGTACCAGCACCATCCCAATCCCAAACAACTGATTTGGGTGTGGCTCAAAATTAAACAGGAGGGGTTACGCAGCTTTTGGTCCATGTTTCCACTTACCAGGGTTCCATTTTGGTACCGGTTTTTTGAGCCACAGACATTTTTTTCGCCATGTCCAAAGATAAAACACTCGGGTGCTGCTGAACCTCTGGGCTGATCGTCCCTTACCATGAATGTGACCTATTTACCTTTTTGGTAGCTTCGACACCCAAGTACCAGAAGCCAGCACCACCGTCCCAACCACCTGATTTTTGTTTTTCCCCATGTCCAAAGAAGTGGTTGGAATCGACCCGAGTGCTGCTGAACCTGGGACCCGCACCCCAGCCTTCGGACATTTTCGTGTCTTTGAGGCCAGAAGTTCCGGCTGCCTGGGTCCACTCTGCTGGGCTCAGACCTGCGCGCCGGGCCCTCGACGGTGCAAGACACATGCCGGTTGGCTCATGACAGGGATTTGGAGCCCCGGAAGAATGGGTAGGTCTTGGAAGAAGCCAAGCCTCAAACAAGAAAATAACCCTCATCTGTTGTTTTTTTCACTGACCTTCAGCTGGGCGTTTCCAGAAAGAATGGCTCCTCCCAGCGGAGTTGTTTGGGGACTCAGCACCCGGGATGTTCATCCATCTTGCCGCTGGAGTCTTTGTCCATTCCTAGGAAAATTCTGGGCAGATCAACAGGTGTACTTTTTTGGTTGGTTTGATTAGAAATAGATGGGTTTCACTGGCTTTGATCATAGGTGTCCTTTTCAGGTTAGTTTGGCTAAAAATAGATGGCACTGATTTGGATGGGGTTTATTCCATTTACCAGGGCCATCTATTTTTCAGAAAGGCCACCTATGGGTTTGATGGTATGCCATCATTTTTACCAAACGGATAGCGTCAGAGCCCAGTAGCCACCCGAATTGTTTCGCCTTTCGGAAGGGGTTCAACGAAAAAGGGGAGCTGGAAACAGGCCAGACTTCGGCGGGCCCCGAGTCATTCGCCCTGGTTTCTGGACAATCCGGAAATGAAAGTGTCTTTTTGAAGGGTGCCCCTTTTGTTGTGGTTGTAAAGGACAACCAAAAAGACCACCATTTCGGGGGTGCCCTCAAAAATAAACACACCCAAGTGAGGACCCCCCCAAGTTGCTGGTCAAAACCAAGCGGACCATCTCCGAGCGAATCGCCCGGTTCCTTTGGATTTCAGTTGCTTTGAGTTGGCTTAGTGGTTGGGTTGAATTTAACTCACAAGCTATTCGCTTTTAGCAAGGGATGAGACAACGGAAAGCGCCATGTTCGAACGTTTCCCATCTTTGGGTCTGCCTTTTCTTAGGTCCCCAAAAATGGCGAAGTGGGGTAAACCTTTTGGTTTCGCACCATCCCATCCACAAAACCTCCACAGGTCCTGGTTGGGACCGTCTTTTCCTGGGTCCCGATTGGTGGATTCAGCTCACTTGGCCGTTGCGCGTCGCCAGCATCTGTCGTCCCACGCCCCATTTTTGAGGATTGGGACCGGGGCACCAAAAGCGCGCAACGGTGTTCCGTTTGGTTTCCCAGAAGAAAAAGCGCACACACACACACACAAAAGGGTTCCAAGAAATAACAATAATAACAATACGCACCCAAATTGACCATACACTAGAATCGTTGACTGAAGCTGCGCTGGCTGAACAGTTTCTGCTATATATACACATACACACCGTATGATATCTACACTTAGTTGTATTGACTTGGGTGTTTGATTCACCAAGTGAACGTAAGTTGTAACGGTAGCCGTTCGGTTATAACCCACCTACAAGTCCCGCAGGGTTTAACCTGAAAAGCCAACCACTTGGCTAACCACAGACACCAACTTGACCGAACATGACACCGGCCAAGGAAGATCGGGTTGGACATCCCCTGTGCCACGAGTCTACTGGGCCTATCATAATCAGCAACCTGGATTTTGGGAGGGGGCTACCATCAATATGTCTACTAATATGCTGTATGTATGTACACTTATGTTATGAAGGGGAGGGGGGGGGGTATCATATTATAGTTATGTGGTATATATATATATATATGGTCAGGTCCCCCCCCATGAACTACCTTTTGTTCTTTCTTCATAAAAGACTGCATATACATATATATATATATATATACACGTATATTTCTACATGTTGTATATATATATGTATATATCTATAAATGAAACATATATATATACAACACAGATATATTGGTATATGTGTGGTATATCATATACACATTCGCGGTGTGAACCCGGGGATGGTTGACTCCAGGTGGACGCCTTCCGCCATGACCGGAACCTCTTCTATGGGCGCTGCACCACGCAGCAGCTGTCAGGAGCTTAGGGCGGGGGCAGGTCTGTTGGGCATTTTGTGGGCATCCCGTTGTTGAAGGAACCCACAAATCTAGGGGTTGATTCCTTTTCCATTCTTTCCAACCATCGTGATTTTCAAAAACCAGCCGTTTCCCCTGGCATTGTGATGGTTTCCTGAAAAGAAGGATCCCTGGAAAGAATGGGGAAGGTACCCCTAGAAAGAAGGCATCCCCAATGTTCTGTTCCTGCTATGATGTTTCTACAGGGTCTGTGCACTTCCATGTTGGTGGTTGGGTTTCTAGATGGTAAACCTAAATGGCGACCTGGGCCATGGTCAAACCTCCTTCATGGTTCCCTTAGGAACCAAATCATAATGGCAAAGCATCCGTACTACTTACTGCTGCGAGACGTAGCCGGGCGTTGGTCCTTTAAAGGACAAAAGCAGTTGAATAGTTTATCGGGGTTATTCCATTTCTCATTCCCTACTGAGCACCAGCAAGTTGGGCATGTCTTTGAAGGAATCCACAAAGAACGTACCCCAAGTTGCTTTGTTCGGATCCAAGATGGCACCCCATTTTATGTTGTTTGTTCGGATCTAAGATGCTGTTTTTTGTTCTTTTGGCAAGACCCCTTTTTGTTTAGTCGCCGAAAGGTTTGGTGTTAAAATTATACACCTCCGTTTGCCGGGTTTGTTGGGTGTACAGCTCAATGTATGGCGCCAACCGAAGCGGCCAAGTGAACGTGTTCACCCTTTTCGGGGGTCCCCCATTTTGAGACAAGTGAACTTATGTTTGAAGCCATGGCTATGTGTCGTTACTTACCCTCCTGTCCACTGGCATGGAACCTAACTCAGAGTACCGAACATGTTGTTTCCTGTAAAAGGACTGGGATGAAGCATGGCACAATGAGTGTTCCATGCCACGTCTTCTCCGGGTGAAATCACCAGGTGTCTGACAAAGAGAAGAAGGGATATTGATAGTTCCACACAATTTTCCCAGTGATTCCATTTACCTGTATAGTAGGTGACCAAGCAAAAACCTGAAACTACAAAGCGCAGTTGTTGCTTGCCTACTATAGTGGGAACGCAGATCCGCTGGGAACAAGACATGGATCCCGACTCAAAGCTGAAAATCCGTGGGGCATCGTGACGGTCACAGAGGTCACTGTGATTTGCTCAATCTGAGAAGTCTTAAGAGGACTAAAACTGCATACACTTGTCAATTATCCACGTTGCCATGGAACGGTATGTTTTAGGGATCCATGCTTCATATGTTGGGATGCTGAATCGGACCCAAGAGTTGCAGATCGGACACCGATTCAAGATGCGAACGGTTGGTGAGTCGGTGATGCAGAGGCATGGGTGCAGAAACAGCTTGCGGTGGGTCCTCTACTTGGGGTCTCTGAATGATTCTATCATTTGCAGATGCACGACCCTATGGTATGAAGCCCTGGTTGATTGCTCAAAGAGTTCACTATGGCCTAGTCATGGAAGACTAGGCACGTGGTTATAGGTTTGTATGGGTGTGGCTCAAGATTAAAGAACGGGCAAACCACCAGGTTTTAATCCACGGAACTAGGTTTTTAGGGTCCTTTGTTCCAAAACAAGGGCTCCAGGTGTCCATGGCACTGCCCCCCTGACTTTGTTCGATTCGCCAAGTAGGTAAGTTGTTGGTAACTTATAGCCGTTCTAAGTGCGGTTAACCTTGTTATTAGCGGGGTATACCCCAATTGGCCAAGCACTTACTATCTTGGCCGAACATCCAAAGGGAGTCCATACTTGAATCAGCCGAGGCCTTACTACTTCCGCATGATGGGGTACCGGTACATGCCTGGTACGCGCCGCCCTCGGACATATGCAAAAAACAGTCGGCCTTTGCTGTGGCACCCAACCCTGACCCACAAGGGTCTCAACAAAAAAATGCATGGAGCCTGCACAGGTGTCCCCTTAACTTGCTGGTGCTCAGGGAATGAATCCAGGGGTCCCCTTAAAGGCAGCCGCAAGGGGATGGTTTTTCTCGGCGTCATTCCCTCATTCCCTGCTGAGAACCAGCAAGTCCAAAAGGGACCATAGGTCTTCCAGGAACCGGATGCAAGAACGGGTATTTTTTTAGCCGTCTATATGTAGCCCCGAATATATTCGGCGAGTTAGGTAAAACGCGTTTCGGAAGTTTTGCATTTTCGAATCGAGCTGTGCCTTTCGAAGCCTTTCGAGCTGTGTTTCCCTTCAAGCTTCTCGTCTGGGATTTGTTCCGACTTCCATTTGGGATTGTCTTTCAGGGGACCCCCAAAATGGTGATGATCCTTTAGATGTCCCTTGAAAGCCTCCAAAGAAGGCAACCCTCCAGAAAGGCACGCCCACTTTCATCGATTCAGAGGATGATCATGAATCATGACTGAATGTAGAGGCTTATGGGGGATGCGTGGATGTTGAATTCGGCTCTTTAACAGGGAACTGGTTGAGCATGTGTCTTTTCCAACCAACAAAACGTTGATCTGTTTTAGCAGGAGGATCAATCGAGACAGACGGGTTCGTCGCAAATCCCCAAAGATCCTTAGATGGCAGGTGGTCCATGTGGTGTTTCCTTTGAACCTCCGAAAGAAACCTCAAGAGGCACGCGCATCTTTGGACAATGGGACGGGCCTTTGTGCCCTAGGCGGAAAGTCTCTTTGAGCTGAGGGCAGGGTTTCCACTTTGACTTGTTCAAAGCCACCTTTTAGGACTTTCAAAGCTCATGTGTTTTTTGTTGCTTCTTTTTTTTTGCGAGGGGGGTTGGTTACCCTGAAACAGGGTACCCTCAAAAACGGCAGACCCAACTGATCAGCAACCAGCTACAAGGGGCCACAGCCGGGGTACACTGAGGATCAACGGAGGGAATTCAAGAACTTGATGGGGTCCGATCACGGTAACAAAAGATGAAGGAACCATCCAGCACTGTGTCACAAGTCATTACTTTCGCTAGATTTATTTATGCCTGCTTCTTGGCAGGGTCTACATGCAGAGCAAGATGGGTGTGCTGAAGCTCATGCGCGAGAACGGCGTGCCCATCCGCGCTTGCCGTGTTCTGTTTTTTTTCCGACTTGGAGGCTGTTTGGTTATAAACGGGGTCATGAACCTCCCAAATGGGGGTACTGAATTAGTAGGGTCAATTCGCTGCGGGTTTGGGCCGGGCTTGGTAGGTGAGGTCTCGGAGAAGCTCTGGGAAGACTTGGTCGATGGGAAGACTCCTAGGGCTTGGGTTGCGATGGTGTTCCGGGGGCTTCCCATTTACCCTCTACAAGAACCGGGGGTTCAAATCCACATCCAAACCAGCAATCCACACCACCCCGGGTTACCTGATGGTTTCCTGTTGGTCTGCCAACAAAAAGCCAACTCTCGAGTGTTACCCGAGAGTCCCCAGTTCTAGCATTCCATCCATTCCTTTGGTGGCCGCATTGGTGGGGATCCCCTTCTGGAGGAGGTTTACCGAACAACCCCCCTCCACCAACCTAAACCACCAAGGGCAAACCTGATCCTTTCAAATATTCAATCATTTTCAAACCTCGCGAAGGAAAAAAGCACTCTGACCTGGAAAAATCAAACTAGGTACCCCAGCTAGGTGCCCTTTCTCACCAACTTTTTTTTGGTTGGGAGGGTTCCCCTACTATAATAGACGTCCTGCAAAAAGTTGGTACCCTTATTCTAACCTCTCAAATCTGAAGGACCTAGAAAAAACACGTCGCAAGCGCTTCCTTCCCCCCCGAAAAATCTCCAACGAAGGCATCGCCAGGCAACGCCATGGACGTTTTCCACGTGGTGTCGCAGCTGGCGCGCCGCTCCGGGGGCGACGCCATCACCGAGGAGCGCCTCCGTAAGGCGCCGTTGGGGACGGGGGGGTGCTGGAGGGCCGAGGGCCGAGGGGTTTCTGGGCGTTTTTTGTTTTCAGCCCATATGAACCAAGGGGTCAACATTTACCATCAACCCACCAGTTTATTCTTAGGGGGGGGGGGTTGGGTTTAGTGGGGAATCAGACCACTTTCGGAGGGGGACACCCCCTATTGATAAGCTGGGGTTAGTATATCTGTATATATATATATATATGTATATATGTGGGGTCAACATAAGCTTACACTATATATATATATATATATGGGGTCAACATAAGCTTACACTGCTTGTTGAACAGTACTTGGGATTTTGGGACATGGGACACATCAGTTGTTTGGGGGGGGGGGCTGCTACTCGGCGTTTCCACCTTTGACTCGTTTGGACATCTGAACCGTTTCTTCCGCATAGGCAGGAAGGTAAAGGGAAGCACCCAGCTTCCCAACAACGAATTGGGCGTGTCTTTTTTGGGGGGGAACCCCCCAATATGGCGCAACGGTATTCCTTTTGGTGTCCCTCTTATATAAGCCCAAAAAAGCCAGGGGTACCCCTCAAGAAAAGACACGCGGGGACACTGCACCCAATGTGGCGCTTTGGCACCTCGACTCGCCGAGCGACTCGCCAGGCGGGCTGCAACCAAGCGCTGCTCGACGAGTGCAAGAAGTCGGTGGAGAAGGGGCTCTTCATCAAAAAGGACAAGGATGCCACTGGGACTCGGAACGAAGGGACGAAGGAACCCATCGATGGGCGTTCCCTTCTCAGTTTTTTTTTTTGAGCCATGTCCCTTGAGAGGGACCAGGGAACCTCCAAAAGGCGATGGTTTTTAATGGAACCCACCTGCAAATGGATCAACTTTTGAGTTGGGGGAATCCAGTGAAGGCATCTGTTGGTATTTGTGGTTAGCCAATCGGGGGGTATACACCCCGTAACAAGTTGTTCACCCCACACGCCAGGGTTCCTGAGCCATTTCCCTTTGAAAGGGAACCTGAAGTGGCGATCGTTTCCATGCAAACCACCAACTCATTGATCAACTTTGAAAGTGGCCCCGGTTTCCGGCTCTCCCCAGACACCGAAAGGGATCGAAAGGGTGCAAAATAGGAGGAGTGTGTGTCCGTTCAAAATCAACGACCAGAAAACCACTGGGATTGTGGCTTTCTGTTGACATGTGTGGCTAATTTCAAACCGGCTGCAAGTGGCCTGCGAACATTTGCCCCCGCTTGTTTCATGCCTGGGAGAGCACCAATAAACCTGTACACCCCAAGGGTGGGTTTAAACATCACCAGTTGGCGTCGTTTTTTCAGCGGGCTTCCTTTTGGCAGGGTGATATTTAGGAAGAACATAGGAAACCCTGTCGGAGAGGATTAGGACAGACCTTTGCTCGGACACGCTGGGTCAGGGAGGGCTCCACCAATTTGTGCAGCGAACGCTCACCTCGACAGCTGAAAAGACAACGCTGTTTTGGCCAACCATTGACTAGCTTGGCAACGAAGATCCAAGTGCTGAAAGCTCAACAAAAGGTTCATAGAAGCCAGCCGCAGGAATTTCAGACAAACACCCAGCACCCGATTCTGTCCCAACCTCTGCTTTTCGGTCCGTACTTGGGATTTAAGACATTGGGGTTGATCAATATTCCGTTCGGCCCCAAAATGATGGAACACTTTTCCCGTGTGAAGGTTGTATCTTTGTTGGTGGTTTCCCCCATTTTCTTCCATTTGTTTAGTTTGCTTTTTCCCATTTTTGGCTTGAAAGGGACTCTATCACTACTTGAAATCTTGTTTTTTCCAGGGAGCTTAAGCAAATGTAGTGTTTCCTTTGGGTCTGTGACGACGTTCAAGTGGGCAGCCCCTCAGGCGCCAACTGCGTGAGTTCCCCGCTAATGCTGAGGGCTTGTTCTAGAGGACCCCCCCAAACTGGTGGGTTGAACCCTTGGTGCCCTTGAACACCGCAGAAAAGCAGGGGGTACTAAGTTGGTACCGTCTTTTTTCGCTGGCTTTCAAGGGAAACCAAGAAGAAACCCCAACTCCAAACAGACGGATCACCACCCCAAAAATCGCTGAGGGCAATGACGTGAAGGGCGTCTGGGACATCCACTTGCAGCCCACCGACGTGGTCCGCAGCTTAGATCGAGCCAAGACCAGCCTTAAAGCCGTCTCTGTTCGCAAGCGAAATGGGTGGTCATTTTTTCCTGGGGAAACCCAGTGAGGTTGGTTGTAACGGGCTATATCAAGGGAATTCACCATTGTTGGGAGACCCTCCTATTTTAAGACACGACTTAAGCTCAACACTGCGTCCCTTACAGTGGGCCCGCATGTTCCGGGGTCCTCATTTTGAATTACCTTCTGCGACGGTTTCTGTCGCCAACGTTTAGAGGGTGACTTTGGGGATGTCGGAAGCTTCCACACCTCCAAGGGGAGCCCGTGCTTGGGTGCTGCCCAGTTAGTAAGTTGTTGGTACCGGTTGGGTTTTAGCGCACTTATACGTGCCCCGCGCAGTGGGGTGAACAACTCGTTCAGGGGTGAAGAACCCCCCAATTGGGTAACCACGTACTAACTTGGCAACGAACATCCAAGTACTGAAAGCTACTTAAGGTTCATACACAGGGACATGGCAAAAACCAACATCCACGTTGCATAAAGAAAAGACAAAACGCACACACAATGAGCATTTCCGGAAAAAAAAGAGAGAGAAACAAAACACAACATGGGCCCAACGACCCCACCCCTCGGCATCCACCGGCTCAAGCGTCACGCGGAAGCTTCGAGCCTCCATCACCTTTTCGGCGATGTCCTGCGAGACATCGACCTCCACGCAGGATGAGCAGGCGGCCCGGGGAGGATTTGCATAAAGTGGAAACACACAGCTGACACTCACCAAACCTGGGTCTATGCGGGGGGGGTATTCTATGAAGTTATGATGCAAGACAATTATTTATAACATATACCAAGTGTGGAATGCCACACTCGACCCAAAAGGGTCTCCAAGGACACTGGAGAGGGGTTTGTCTCCAGATAGGATCCGCAGTTGCCGAAGCCATTTTTAGGAACAGTCGCGCAGGCGCAGGACTTCCCACTGCTTCCTCCAGACCACCCCATGCGGCAGCTCGAGCTGACGCGCGCGAATGGCGCGGCGTGGCTGAACCCCTTCAGGGCCGATGTGCCTTGGCGATCGAAGACCAATTGAGAAGCGCCCAAACCGATTCCTATTGGCGAGGTTAGTAGAACCTACTACGTACCTGGTTTTCTATGGATCATCTGTATAAACATTTTGGTGGGTTCTACCTTCTATGGGTCATAGTCCTATACAAACGTATAGCCGTCTTGGTAGAACCAAAGTCACTGGGCGAAACGAGCGCTGCTCAATTTGTTTGGGTAGTTCACTCGTTCTCCATCAGCCAACAAATATTGAGAGGCGTTTTTTTTTTTTTTTTCAGGGGAGTTTTGTTCAATTTGGGAATTGGACCCACGAATTGTGTCTTCCTGCTGGTTGCCCTTTCAGCCAGGGTGAAAAGGGTACCGAGCCTTGCACATGTTCCAAACCCATCTAGTGGCACGTGTTTATGGGCTCACTCCCTGAGTTCCTGGAAATGAAACTCTTGGGACAACCAGTGGGGTAAACAAACAGTTCATGCTTGGTCTGGCCAATCCACTCAGGAAGTGAGTTGTTGGCTTGTTGACATCACCTTTAGAGCCATTTACAGGTTTAAATTAAATATTATGAGTTTTATTCTCGGTTTGTTCAAAGGGGCACAGTGCTTGAAAGGGACATGGAAAACCAACATCAAAATTGGGGGGCTTATTTAGGAAAACCAACATCCATGTTGGGGGACTTTATTCAAAGACACACCCATAGAAGGAAACTCTTTTTTTCCTAAAAGCCATAGAGTTTCTCGAAGAGACTAATCAATCCCTGGCCGATGTTGATGAGGGGTTGACAGCTTCGGGTCAGATATCGAGGCTTGCCTAGTGGTGAAGGATCGCTGGTTCTTCATTCACAAGCCCTTGGTGCAGGACGGGGGCGATTCGAAGCGGATATGTTGGCTTGCAGCTTTTTTTGGCGGGTGGCCCTTCTTGCGGATTTATTTACAGTAAAGAGCCACCAATAGGAATCCACTTTTTCTTTGGGTGGGGGTTCCCCCTATGTTGAGACAAGCCCGTATGCTTATACATCAGCAGCTAAATGGTTTGGTTGTAAATGGGGTTGTCAAGCTCCGTTCAACGAGGTTTTACTGGGTTGATCGCCTCATTTGCCAAGCCGTTCGGCCAAACTGCCTTCTCCTGGTCACTGTTGGGATCTAGACCATAGTGGCAAGCATCTTCTGTCGCCGCGGTTCCCTGTGAGAAGCTGTTTGGTTTCTGAGAGTTTGGCTTGCTGGCTTCCAGTTGCAAGTGGGCTCCCAAGACGTCTTCAGGGACATCACCCCACCCAAAGGCTCGGAGTGTGAATTGGCCCGATTTCGGTGCGAGCTGTTTTTCTGCGGATTCGGCCCGGCCCCCATTTTGAGTGGTGTTCCGCTGGGCTTTGCTTTGCTTCGCCAAGAACAAATTGTGCTGTACCCTCCACCATCTTGGCGATTCCCGGCGGTCCGGTCCTCCGGGTTTTAGGGGATCTGAGGACAGCCATCAAAGGACGATAGAGTCGGCCCCCCGACCGGCAGGACAGCGGGTACTTGATGCACCTGCTGTCTGAGGAGTGCAGGTGTCCGGAGGACTACATGCTGCACCTGGACTCATGGGTTTTTGGACCGCCCAGTTTTTTCGACCAGCGTTGAGGCTCGTGGGTTTCGGGTCTCCACACCAAGGGTCTGGGATTGGATTTCGAGAATTAGCTCCAGGTCGGTGAATTCCAAGTTGGTGTTCAAGCTATGTAGTAAATAGACTATCACCATGGTAGGGGGGCAATCACCCCAGTTACCCCAGTTACCCTGGTCACAACCTATTTGTTTTGAGTTGCTTGAACATCCAAGTATGGGAGTGCGCGAGAATGTTTGCCACGCGTGAGCCAAACGTTCATGTTTTCAAGCTGGACATTTTTTGTTAAGTGGGTGCAGCTTGCCTAGAGGCTTTATTGGTTGTCCGATTTTGCTTTCTCAGTCGGGATCCCCCATATGGGGGCAACAGACCTCACTTTTGGGTGTAGCTCCTTTGCTTGAGTGGGCACCCTTGTGTTTTTGTAGTTTTGGGAAGCCGGAAACCGGCGTATGGATGGACACGTTGAGAGAAAACAAAATGTGGGGAGCCAACAAGAAGCAGGTGATGTTTACCTGTACGCGGAACTTTTTTTTTGGTTGGCGGGGGCCTTACAATCCTCATGTTTTTTTTTGTTTTCGGAAAACCACGAAAACCAACGGGAAAAAACGCTTTTTGGTCGTAAAAAGAAGGATGGCTGAGTCAAGACAGGAGTCCACCACTCCAAATGGCCGGCCTGCACCAGAAGGACCCAAACTGGATATGGTCTATTTGGACCCTCAAACTGCCCTGAAGAAAGGGACATTTTAAGGAGTTTTGAGGGTGCAGGCAAATGTCTTGGCCGTCTGTGCAGTGATTTGAACCACTTGTCAGGCGAGAGTGTCCTTCTGGAGGATATTCATTGGGTGTGGTAAAGACAAACCAATGAATTTGGAGTGGTGTCAAAGATGGGGGTCCTGAGCGCCCAAAACGTCTTAAACCCTCCCCAAAAAGGCTACCGAGCCTCAACAACTACAACCCCATATTTGGGTGAACGAATTTTGACCATCACTGGTTCAGAGCACCTGCCCGAGACTCCTCCAAAGTCGTGGAAATCGAAGAATCGACCGTACATCCCCTCATGTGGGTGAACACAAGCTGCATCATTTTCCATGTTTGGTTTTAAAGGGAATTGACTTCACTACTGGACAGATTTTGTATCATTTCCAGGGGGCGAAAAAGCAAATGGAAGACTTCCATTTGCTTAAGAATAGTCCCTAAAGGCTCCGATCGGCTTCGGCTTTCAAGGGCAAACCCGACCCCGAAGCATTAGACACCCCAGGAATCGGTTGGGACCCGGTCTCAAAACCAGGTTGTTTGAAGGCCCTAAATTTTAGATCAATCGGGAGCCTCTGGGTAGCAAAAATGCGAGGGGTGAAACGGAGGTAACGAACTAATATATATATACATATACTCCAGGGGCACCGCTCGTACACCAAATAACATGCTTTCAGATTCTGGTTCTATTTTGTCAGCTTGCAAATGTTCAGATTCTCGGAGGAGACCCTAGATATTGTTCCCTGCAATAGATTGCTTGAAGAAACCCCACACAGTGTTTGGGGTTGGTCATTTCCCAAAAAGGCACACGACAATCTACAATCAGCTTCAACACTTTCATTTCGTCTGCCAAGACCCTCAAGCTATCCTTAAAAATGGTTTCTTGCCTCATTGTGGGGTGATCTTGTTCATTATATGAGTAGTTCTTTCGAGTCCAGGTGCTTTTTGGGATGGCCAAGCTACCGCGGCTTGAACCGACTGCAAAAAAACACATTGAGGCGAATGGAGGCAGACGCGGACTGCCTGGAGCTGGTGCTGCGCTGGATGTACACAGGCGACTTGACTCGGACGGGAAGCCCCAACCAGCAATGGGTGTAGCCTTGGTAACTCTTTACATGGGTTTGGGTTCACGATTTTGGGATTCCAGGTTTTGATATGGTTGGGACCGTTGTTCGTTACTATTTACAGGGGAATTTTGTCATTCCAGGGTTTCTTACATCCACAGTAAGAACAAGTTGTCGACTTCACATTCGCGGTGGACTTGTAAGGTTTCCCTATGATTTTTCAGGCCATATCCCAAATAAAATGACCTTTTGGTTTTCTGTTTTGGTCATGGTCGCACTTGTGCAAGTGAGATTTGTTTCCTGTCGAGCACCCAAGTGCGTCAATCTCGAAACCTGGTACCAAATAGTGAACCCAAAACCATGTATAGAGTTGCAGTACCATCTACAGTAGGGAGTTCAAACAAAAAGAGAGAACAAACAAGAAACAACACACAATACAAGTGTTGTGGATTGTCAAGACTATGGCCGGATCCTTTTGGGACCCGCTTTTGTTGGTACCGGTTTCGGTGCCGCCCGGTGAGAGGAAAGAGAGCCCGTGATTTTGACCACAAGAAACTCCGATTGAAAAAGAAGCATGGCGAATGTGTCTGTTTTTAGGACCTCCTTCATTTCGGTAGCCACCCGCACACCCGCAACCCCTCTCAATCTCGATCAGGGGCCCTGCAAAGAGGGGACCCCCGCCAAAGAAAAGAAGGAACCCTAATACCCGTATTAGTCCCTATTGCGTTCCCTTCACAACCATAGGACCTACCCCAGGATTAGCCAAGCGCTGTCCAACCCGTTTCCCCAGGAGCATTCCAGCAGATGAAGCGGGTTGAATAATCCAGAGCCTGATCGTAGGCAACCAAGGGAACCACCGCTAAAAAAACAAAAGGACGATTGCTGGTTGCCAACTAAAGAGGTAGCTGGGATCCACTGGATTAGTCTCAGCAATGCCACTCGATCATGAGATCCATCACGTTTTGGACCTTCCGCCTCCATTTCGGAGACAACTGGCCCGAACAAAAACAGTGTTTCGAGGTCTATTGATTGCCAGGAAGCGTGGGAATCCGGACATTGAAACCCCATGTCTCACTGTTTGATTTCCCCCAAAGGCCATCAAATGGGATTTGGGCGATTTAGGGGCCATGCGACAGCCATTGGAGACCCGTCTGGGTAACTTGGCAGTTCCCAGGCCAAGATAAGCTTGGCCAAACAATTGCGAATCGTATTCTCCTTTGATTAAATCTTAGTAGCTTGTTTCACTAGCTGGTTTCAGAAGGGTCATAGCATTCCTACATATACTTTGGTGCATTTTGCTTGGCTGTTAGGACTTTAACTGTTTGCCAACTAATGGGTTTTCCACTAAGTCACTAAAAGTTAAACTTTTAGCAGGGGAGCAGAAATCAACCGAGTATATTTGTATATAACCTTTAAGCATCTTGGTAGAACCAAAGGCAATAGGTTTTGGGTCCTTAATCCTTATCAGGATTTTGGCCCCCTGTGCAGTGGTTTCCAACATATACGTGCATAGAAAATCGGATTGGCCAACACAAGCCATTTTGAACTGCCCAGCTTGTGTTAAGCCCTTGAGAAAAGATGGATTTACAGGCAAAGATGAACAAATCAGGTTTGATGCTCGGAAGTCCAGGGAGTAGTAAGGAGCATGTGGGTTGGGCCATTTGAATGAGACTCAGAAACTTTGTAAGCCGTTTGCCCGTTTTTGCGCGTCTTTTCGCTCGCTCGCTCGCGTGTTCGCTTGGCGGCCCCTCCCAGCTCGCTCGTGCAGGCGAGGCCTCGCCACAGGTGCGACAGATCAAAGACCTGCTGAGCCTGGGGCGGTTTCTGCTGATGAGCGACGCCTTTGAGGACGCCGCTCGGTGTGCGCGAGTCCGAGCAAAGTCTCGAGATGTTCGGAAGGGATCGGGCTGTTGACCTTTGGGTTTTTGATTGTTGGTCCACTTTTAAGTAACGGTCCGAGGTGTTCCCTGTTTTGTTCCTGGTCCTGTGTGCAAGTCAGTGACAAAGCCGACGAGAAAGAAGCGGCGCGGATATCCGCCCAGTTTATTCTACTGCATAGTGTTGGATAGACTCTGGGTGTTGATTGCAACAATTGCAAGATATAACTCTAGCCACATTTCGACCCTTGGGCCGAACCACGTGCCCCTTCTTCTTGCCCCTACAATATGCAGAGCCCTATTCAATACAAATGCAATGATCACACTTGCAATGAGCAAAAGGGTAGCTTTCACACAGTGGTACGGGCTGGCAAAACAGGCCAGACAGAAAGCTTCCTTTTGTCCTTTCTGGTTCCTTCAGTTGGCCAGCAAACATATTACTTTTGGTTCCTAGTCTCTTCCCTGGAGGACCCAACTGAAGCTCGCCCGCCACGAAACGTCCATGAAATGCTGAGAGCCTCCAAATCCAACGCTTCAGTTGCATTTTTCATGGCACCGCTACTTTTCGAAGGGGCTGCAAAGAGTTGTAGCGATTTGGCAGGGCGTCCAAAAAGGTCGGAGCGTCTTCCTTTTTTCCCTGCGGATTTCGGGGGCAAAACGCATATATAAGCACCCCGCCCAGAATTGGTTGGATTCGCTTTGGGGTAAATGGAAAGCCTCCCCCAGAACGCTACCACACCGGAGCTCCAAACCAAGTGCTTCCGAATGGTTAAGAATATGTCTTATTTTCTTCTGTTGGTTTTAAAGGGATCTATCACTACTGGAAACATTTTTTTTCCAGGGGGCTGAAGCAAATGTAGAATTAGAGGGAAATCGATCGAAACTACGATTTTTCAAATTAGAGGAGAGCTCCACGCGGCCCCTCCGGTCAGGACTACCTTTGGGCCTGCCTGGTACAGAGCTGCCCGAGCCTCGTGGTGACTGGGTCTTCCAGTTTGGTTAGACATGAGCGCCCGAAGCCAATTCTAGCAGGGATTTTAGTAGATTGCGCTACTACCGGCCACAACCTTTCACCACCTGGGTAGAACCCAAAGTCGATGGGTTTTGCATTTTGCTTGTGATTTCGACTGACCCCGCGGCTCCAAAACCGAGCTACCTTTCATTGTTTTTACTAAAAATCCCTTTAATGACCAAGCAGATGTGTGGAAGGATGGAGCCGTGTGGCTCATGTCCAATCATCCTTTTGTGGGTTTGGACAAGCACTACATGTGTTGGTGTCATTTGTACTGTGGATGGACCAAACCCATGTTGCACAAGCTGGGATGAAGCCCACTGGAAACTGAAATAAACCACATATGTAACAAACAGCCGCTACATATCAGGGAAAGTTCAGGCATCTTGGAAGGCACGCCCTGAAAGTAAACTGGGATCCGCAGGGTACGACTCCTGGGGTCTGGGGAGATTCTGTACCATGTGTATTTGCTTACATGCATTGATATATATATATATATATACACTACCCATCCCCCAAAAAACAACAATAAACAAACACCTACCAACATTTCATTTTGTGGCACTTTGAAGTTGAAGATTTGCCAGACATCTTTCTTCAGAATCTGGAATTCTTCAGAAACGTGACTTTGAAACCACTTGGAGGGAACAAATATATATATATATATATATATATTATTTTCTGGGCCTGCGGCCTCTAGCCGGCTACGCCTCTTTGAAGTTATACCATGTCATGTCATGTTTTTTGTATGAGAAACGTGTCCTGTGCTATGTTATGGCTGGTTAGGCTTTGCATGTTGCCCACCCCAACCCCAGATGATGCCGGGGATGCCAGCTTTCTGGGCCCCAGCCGGGCCCCAACCCAGAAGACTGACATGGGGTCGCGCCAGAGGCTCCAGAAACAGCAGCCCAAAAAGAACAGCCCGCAAACCAGCCCGGAAACGCAAACGCAACAAAACACCGCAAATTTTGTGGCTGGAGTCGCGCGCGCGCGCGCGCGCCAGAAGGCCCGAAAACCAACGGGAAAAAAGCAAGGACCGCGCAGCGCGAGCCAGCCACAGCAAGAGCAAAACGGACAGAACAACAGCCCAACGCTCAGCGCAGCAGTTTTTGGCGGTATTTACCGCGTTTTGGAGAGCGAGGGCCCAGCATCGCCTTCTAAAAAACAGTGCTTCATGGGTTGAGAGGCTTTTTGGAAGGAAGTCTTGACCAAGCCTCGCTGAAGCATCGCCCAGGCCCAACCCCAGACCCTGACGATGTCAGCCACATGGCCTAAACCCCGCATAGACGCGATGTTTTGCGAGGGAATTTTCACAGGCAAGCAAAACCGCAAGCCCGAGCTGGTGATGCAGAGGTGCCGGATTTAGGCAGCGCATCACGACCAATTGGCGAGGGTCGGCGGCACCAGGGTGCACCCCCTATCATGCTACCCCAGGAGGCGTAGCCGGATCTAAGGGCTGCCGCCCGGTGCCGCCGACCCCACATGGTATAGCCCTGCAACTCCCCGTGCTTTGAGATATCCCGACCCCATCGGCTGATAATCATCATGACGCATCCTCAGCATCAGACCCCCCCCCAAAAAAACAGCAAGCCGGGTGGCCTAGACTACGCTTATGGTGGATCTAACAACGCTTATGGCCACCATGATGATGAGGCTGATGATGATGATGATGATGATTATCATGTTGATGACATTGATGACGATGGTGACGAGGACGATGACTGTGATGATGCAATGATATTGATTACGATGGTGACAAGGATGCTGAAAAAACTGATGATGTTGACATCAAATCGGCTGATAGTCATCATGACGCATCCTCAGCATGAGACCCCCCCAAAAAAAAGCAAGCCGGGCGGCCTCGACGGCGCTTATGGTGGCCCTAACAACGCTTATGGCCACCATGATGATGATAATGATGATGATGCTGATGCTGATGCTGCTGATGATGATTATCATGATGATGACATTCACGACGATGGTGACGAGGATGATGACTGTGACGATACGATGATATTGATTACGATGGTGACAAGCATGATGAAGAAACCGATGATGTTGACATCAAACGGCTGATAATCATCATGACGCATCCTCAGCATCACCAGCAGTCATGCTGATAATCATGCGCACGCATCTTTTGAAGGATGATGATGAGGATGACTGTGATGATAACTGTCATCGTAGCATTCTCTGCCTCACCAGTGCCGGCTGGTAAGAGATGAGGATGACCATCATGATGATGATGAGAAGATTGATGATGATGATGACGACCATCAGCATGATGATAACTATCATCGTAGCATCCTTTGCATCACCAGTGCTGCCTAATAAGAGATGACGACGACCATGATAAGGATGAGGACTGTGATGATAACTATCATCGTAGCATCCTTTGCATCACCAGTGCTGCCTAATAAGAGATGATGATGACCATGATGATAATGATGATAAGGATGAGGACTGTGATGATAACTATCATCGTAGCATCCTCGGCATCACCAGTGCCAGCTAATAAGAGATGATGATGACCGTGATGACAATGATGATAAGGATGAGGTCTGTGAAGATAACTATCATCGTAGCACCCTCTGCATCACCAATGCTCTCTAACGTCCTATTGAAATGTATTTTCAAGTAAGAAAGAGATGATGATGACCATCATGATGATGATGAGAAGAGTGATGATGATGATGATGATGATGATGACGACTGTGATGATAACTATCGTAGCATCCTTTGCATCACCAGTGTGCCTAAGAAGATGACCATGATGATAATGGTGATAAGGATGAGGAGTGTGATGATAACTATCATCGTAGCATCCTCGGCATCACCAGTGCCAGGTAATAAGAGATAATTCTTATATGAATTTCAATAGGGACGTTAGAGGGCATTGGTGATGCAGAGGATGCTACGATGATAGTTATCATCACAGTCTTCATCCTTATCATCATTGTTATCACGGTCATCGTCATCTCTCATTAGGCAGCATTGGTGATGCAGAGGATGCTACGATGATAGTTATCATCACAGTCATCATCAGCATCACCCTTATCATCATCATGATGATGGTCATCATCACCATCATCATCATCACTCTTCTAATCATCATCATCATGATGGCCATCATCATTTCTGGGATAGACAGAATTGGCGATGCAGAGGATGCTACCATGATAGTTATCATCACAGTCCTTATCATCATTATCATCATGGTCATCATCATGAAAGAGATGATGATGACCTTCATGATGATGAGAAGAGTGATGATGATGATGATGACAACCAGGACTGTGATGATAATTATCATCGTAGCATCCTCTGCATCACCAGTGCCAGGTAATAAGAGATGATGATGACGATGATAAGGATGAGGACTGTGATGATAACTATCATCGTAGCATCCTTTGCATCGCCAATGCTGTCCAACATCCCTTTTGAAATGCATACAAGAACAAGAATGATGATGATCATCATGATGATGATGAGAAGAGTGATGATGATGAGAAGAGTGATGATGATGATGATGATGATGATGATGATGATGATGATGACGACCATCATCATGATGATGATAAGGATGATGCTGATGATGACTGTGATGATACTATCATCGTAGCATCCTCTGCATCACCAATGCTCTCTAACGTCCCTTTTGAAACGTATATAAGACCCCCAAAAAAAAGCAAGCCGGGTGGCCTCGACTGCGGTTGTGGCCGTCATGATGATGATGATGATGATGATGATGATGATGATGATGATGATGATGATATTGGTGTTGATGGTGAGAAGGACGATGACTGTGATGATATGATTATATTGATTACGATGGTGACAAGGATGATGAAGACACCGATGATATGACGCCCTTCCCATGCGCCTCGCCCTTGCAGACAAGGGGTCGGCGGAGATATATATATATATATATATTTACTTCCCACATATGTAATACACATGTGGGAGTTGATCAAAAGGCCCTCCACGTGGGAGGAGGGAAGCCGCAAAGATGATGATATTTCCCACAGAATGGGAAAAGTGATCCTTGGTGCCTGGAGTATTGATCAACCCCATTTCTCGTCCAAACGAGCTTCAGACGAACGGAAGGAAAAATGAAACTCCCTCAAACTACCCATGAAAAAAGGACATCACCCAAATTGTTGGGCCAATAACCCTTTTTTTATGGTTGGTTTGAGGGTCCAGGAACATATATATATATATATATATATTGGTCCTTCTTCTCAGGTCGCGGCCAGCCCTGCCTCATCTACGCGCTGACGGTTTGCGGCCGAGCTCAGCCTCTCGCCCAGCTGCTGCAGATCCTGGACAGGCGGGAATGAGGCACTCGGATTTTTGGGAATTCGTGGCCAGGCAAGCTGGTTCATTCAAGTGAGCCTTCTGTCTCAAAAGCACTTGCGGTCCGGGCTAAACACGTTTATCCTTTAAACTGTTTCAACCTAAACAGGGTTAAACACGTTTAGCCTGGACAGGCAAGCTGGTTCAGGGCTGCTGGATCACTCGGGGTTTATCCCCACTTCTGTGATACAAGGACATCTCCCCCTTCATAACGGGGGGTTAGTCTTTGGGAAGCCCTTTCTGTTGTATCACATAAGTGGTCATTTCCCGTAGCCCTGAGCTGGTTCATTCAAGTGAACTTCGTCCTCAAAATCACTTGGGGTGGATCAGAACAACGCCATTGAACTGAGGAAATCTCCTCAGAAAGCTGAATGTTAAGGTTTGCTAAAGATGGATCAGACTCTGAGCACTACACTTGTAGCGTAATTGTCACAGAGTCGGGCCAAGTTGAGTGAGTGACAGGGGTCCCTACAATTTCCATGTTTTTAAACATCACCTTTGGGGGAATTTGTTTTGGTAGGGGGTGTGTTTGGGAGGGGGGGATCCCCCCCCTCAAGGAGGTGCAAGGTCCACTTGGGGTGACCCGTCGGCCTGCGGTTGTGTTTGGTCTGTTCGGCCAAGCAAGGACGCAAATTTCGCACCACCTAATAACCTCTGGAATGCCAATTATCCATAGAAGGTACCAACGAACTATGGCTTCCCATGTTTTCCAAGTCGTGCGACATGGGTTTCGTCCATCCACAGCATGGACCCAAAACATGGCCGAAGAAGGGCGGATTTTCTTTCCCAGGCCAGTGAAGAATCACCAGCCAGCTTTGCCAAATCATGGTTGTGGGAAACAGTTGACATCGTTGTGGTTTCGTGGTTGAAATCCCCACTGAACTGCTGAAATTTAAATTGCTGCTCCCCTTCCAACGTCAACCAAGAAATGCCGAGCGGAGTAGAACAAACGATGATTCATCGGTGGCAAAGGCTCGAAATCCGGTTTTTCCGTGGCGCTCTAACCGCTTCTTGCTTGGAGACTTCCCCGCTAAACATCGGCAACTCAAAAAGGATTCCAATTGTTTTTTTCCCCCAGTGTTGATTTGAGAGTAAGGCTAGCTGTCACATCCTCTAAATCCCTTTTGTTTGGCAACTATGGTTAACCCTCCAAGTCCTAACCCTTCAAGTCCCTTCTTGTTTGGTGCTTGGATAAGTCTTTTTTCGGCCAAGTCAGTCAATTGGCTTGTAACCCCCGATAGTTAACGCACTTCGGGGGGCTGACAAGTGGGTTATGACCTAGGTTACCAACAACTTGCTTACATGGGGTTCCTGGAGCCGATGCGATTTTCATCGGGGGCTTGGGAAGGGGAGCCCAAGGCGACCCTTAAGGTCTTAAGCCCTGGTCTTCATAAGGCCTGGCTGGGGAGGGGGGAGGGGAGGCAACCCTTAAGGTCTTCATGGTGAATCAAACATCCAAGTAACCATACTCAACGCCAAACTGGATTCCTCTTTCTTCTCATTTCCAGGGCCTCGGGAAATGGCGCAGTCCTGCGGTTAGGTGCCAGGTGCCGGTGGACGTCCACCTCAAGTTCTGGGTGCTGTGGGCCATGCACGTGGAACTCGTAGAAGCTTGACGGGGAGAAAGGTGGCAGTGTCTTTGTTGAGGGTACCCTTTTCCAGCACCCGGGTCCCAACCACTGCTTGTTGGACTGGGGGAATTTGGACATGGGAAACGGCAGACAAGTTGGGGGCTGCTGGTTTGGAATGGTTAACACCACCCATTTTGGGCGTTCCCCCATTTTGAGAAAGACAAAACGGGTGTTTCTGGTCGCTAAATGGCAAACCGAACCGTTCTTAACAGCTGGGTTGGATCTTGAACGCTTGACTTGTTCGGGAATTTTGGTGTTTCCCCGCTGACCAGCAAGCGTTACAGCACAACAGGAAAGTGGGGGACCCTTTCATGGACATCATTTACACTTTTGTTCTGACTGCTTCTTTCTGGAAGCTGCCCGAAATTCCCAACCTAGGATCACTCAAGTCGGGCAAAAGGAACACAACGTATGTTGCCTTGCCAGACTTAGCCTGCTTTCTTTAACTATATGCTTTTTGGGGTGTCCCTCATTTTTCCTGCAGCAAAAACTGTGTAACTTTTTGCAGGGTCGGATCAGTCTGGTCAAGCTTTGTCCCAAGCTTTTTCAGGGACTGCGAGGCATCCCACCCTCCTCGCCTAGGAAACCGCCTCTATTTTGAGACACACCCTTGCTGTTGTTGTTTTGTCGGAGCTTGATGTTCATGTGTTTGCTTCACAGCAACAGTGAAACTGACAGGTCTTGTTAGCTATTGCAAAGGTTGCTTCAAACAAATCGACGCGAACCAAAACGATGGCCCCAGGACACGGACGTGGAGGTGTCGATTCTGCGAGAACACATGGTGGAGCTGGTTCGTAGCTGCAGTGAATCGGGGCTTCGGGATGCGCAGAGGGCCTCACCAAAGAGCTTCGACCTTCTTGTGCGCCTAGAGCCGCATTGCTTTTTAGGAGTTTGGGGGGAGGGGGCATCCTTTTTGCCTGCAACCCCAAGGACAGACACCTCCCCCCCGGCCCAGCCGAGGTTGATTAGTTGGGCTACAATTGCTCTTGCTCACTAGTACATGTGTCGTTTTCTGGTGGCACTAAAGCAGGAAACGACTGGCATGTTGGCTTTTTTGTTTGAGAACCACATGTGTTTTGGTTTGCCGAAGAAAGTGGGGCACAAACAGAAAATGGCAACAGTTTCCTTTTGGCTTCACCTTCAAGTCCACCGAATGGGGTCCCCCAAAAGCATGATGCACCCCAAGAAAGCACCCCTTTTTGTCGTTTTGTGTTGTTTTGTTTGGGGGGAGGGGGTCCCGTTGAAGTCATCTACCAGAATCATGGCCACTGGGGGTTGAGTTGCTGGGACGTGTTTTTGTTCGAACTTGCATCTTCCCTCGAAGGCCCCCACCCCCAAGCCTGTCCATTTAGGCCGGCCTCGTGTTTGGTGGCGCGCTACCAGATGGAGCAGCCGACGCATGACTTGCCCAACTGGCTCGAGAGGTCAGGGGACTGGGGCGCGTAAGCTTGGCAGCTTCTGTGGATGGAGAAAATCTTGCAGCGGTCAATCGATAGTCTATGAGTGTGTCTTGGTTCCGTCCCCAAACTGGGTGGTGGTCCATTTGTTTTCCTTTTACAACCACAAGAGGAGGGGTACCTTCAAGACAAGACACCCCCATGATTGGTAAGGTTTTACCCATCCTAAAGGGTGCGAAGGGGACTGTGTCCAAGAGTGTCAGTTGTATTGTCTGCATGCAAAGGAGATTTTTCTCCGGAGTTTGTTCGGAATGAGTTTTTGACAAGATCCAGGGATATTTGATCTATGGTCGGTTTGGATGGCGAGTTATGTGTGGACGGCCTACCATCTGCTTCGTTTTCGGGGCATCTTCTGTGGCTTTCGGGGGGTTCCGTGTTTCTCGGGAATGTACTGACCTGCTGAGTTGACCGAGCTTCTCAAAGCATGGACAAGCTACCAGCAGAAAGCTTAGAGTTTGTCAACTCAGCAGGCAAGTTAAGCCTCTGGGCAAGTTTCGACGGGGAAACCGGCGATGTCACCCATGACGAGGATTTATCCCGTAGATATCGCGTGCGGCCAGATGGTTCCCTTCTCAAAACCAGCGTCCTTCTAAAAGTGGTGTCCTTCACTGTGTTTCGCCTTTGTTCAGTTGTTCAGCTCCGCTCATGTTTCGGGGCTGAACGGATTTGTTGTCTAACATACCGGTAAGCCAACAAAGGGCGTTCCTCGTTTGCATGTCTCAAGATAAGGGGAACCCTTGTATGATGAACGAAACCTCCAGAAGCCACCTCCAATGTTTTTGTTTTTCCTCCAAAAGCTGGGGAAGGTAACCCGTTGACGATCGGGGCACTTAACTCCCCTGAAGAGGCGACACCCCAAATTCCCCTCAACGCATTCAGTGAGCTTACGCTTTTTCCGGGTGTGAGGACTCGTCTCGTCGATCATCTCAACGTCGTCCCAAGAAGGGGCTGCAACTGAACCCATACTTTCGAGGGGCGGATCACGAGACAAAATATGCCCAGATGATGCGGACCCATGGTAGGAAACAGGGCTACCTGAGCCGGGACTTCCATTTTGTGGAGATACTACAGAAGCCAGGAACATATTTTTGTGACACTTTTGGGAATCTCCCGTGACTTGGGGGTGGGAACTACCTGAAATGTCCACGGATTTGGGGGAAACTGCCTGGATGTTCATGAATATGTTGGGAAAACTACCTGCTTTTGCGAACTTGCTGGATTTTCAATAGACTTCCATTTGCTTAAGACTATGTCTCAATTTCCCTCTGTTGGGTTTGAAGGGAATTTATCGCTACTGGAAATATGTATAATTTTTTCCAGAGGACTTAAGCAGATGGTAGATTTTCTGGGCAACTTCCTGGATTTTCCTTGGATTCATTTGGGAACTTCCTGAGTTTCCAGAGCTTCCAGCGAGGCCGCTGGATCGACCAGCTGCAGCCACTGCAGGCAAGTCAACCGGCAACGGTCTCCTCACAAGCCCGGCAAAACCGGGTGGCTTTTGAAATTCAGCTATGGGGTCTATTTATTTGGGCAGCTTTCAGGCAGGGCTCAAAAGGAGGGTTCCCAGGCTGTTGGGGATACCACCTGGGCAGTTTTGTTTTGAGCAACAGCTGTACCCTCAACAGAAAGGCACGCCTTGGCCCTTTTTTTTAGACGGGAGTTCGAACCCTCTTTTGGTTGGTTTCGAAGTGGACGCCGAGCGCCATTTTAGGGCACCGTGCCCTGATTTTGAGAGACAAAGCCAAAGGTGTTGCCGGGGTAAAAAGGCTTGTTTGCCGTCCATTCGGAGCACGAAGGGCAAATCATGGTTGTTCCTATGCGGAACTCCACCCCGGGTTCACCCGTTCTTCTCGGGTTTTCTTGTCGATTTGAGTGGGGTTGGGCAGGCTCCCCGACACTCTGCAGGGTTCCAGGGAATTCCGGGCTGTTGCGGGATACCACCTGCCTAGATAGCCAAGTTGCGATCGCTTTTTTCAGTCACTGTTGCTATCGGTTTTTGGGGTGAACTGCGCATGGAACAAAAACAGCAGCTGGCGATACCACCTGGGTTGCTTTTTTTCTTCTCAGACAGCGGAGCCGCAGACATTCTTTCCAAATCGGTTTTGGCGCGAGGCTTCAAGGCTCCTCCGGCGCGGCGCAGTTGGCCCTTGGAAGTGAGCGCTTTTTCCAGCTTGGCTTGATCCGTGCTACAACCAACCCGAAACGTGTGTGGCCGTTTCTGAATGGGTTATGCCGGATCTTCATGAAGTTTCGGGGTGGGAGCTTCTCTTAATGAACATTTGGGAGCGAAGAGGCGCTTTACCCGGCCTTTGAGAAGATTCCGTTGCACGGAATTCGCTTGGCGTTTCGGAATTCGAATTCAGCGTCCTGCTGTGGGCGAATGCAGGGCTCAGGTCGATGTGTGGTGAAACATTGGCCTTGGGTTGTGGAAAACTTTGTTCAAGCTGTGCCCTTGGATTTATTTATTTTTCGAGAACCCCCTAAAGCAAACCCTCAAGGCACAAATGCCAAGGGAGCCCCTTCAAAGTTGTAAGGGATCCAGCAGTCGAGGGCAGCCATTCTGGTACGACAAGGGTGATTTTCCACGGGTCGACGGCTCGACGGGGCGAGAAGCAAAACATGTGCGCGCCTTCGAATCTGGGCCTCCGTCGACTTGGGTTGCTTTGCCATTCTCTTCACCCAGCATTGTCTAATGTGGACCCTCAAACCAGCCACGAATTGCAGGTGTTTGCTCAATATGGGTGATGTCCCTTTTGGGGGTGGGTAGTTTGAGAATCGGGCCACATTGTTCCAGCTTGGCCGAGTTTTTGAAGAGAACCCGTTCCCTGAATTTCACCCGCCCCCCGCCCCCAAAACCATGGGAGGTTTTTATAACCACCGTCATTTATCCGGAAATTTGGGGGGTCAACTTCCGGGCGGACGTACAGCTCTTGCAGAGACCTCCGAGCGAATTCATTGCGCGGCTGCCGGCTCGGTCCGAGGTGGACCGATCTCCGGACATCTATCTTTGCGACGAAAAGGAGACCATGATCTACCACTGGTCTGGCACGGAGGAGGGGCCTCGTTTTTGTGTTTTTAATGTTTGTCTGCTGGATTTGAACCCCTGGCTGGGTGGATGGGACACCCCTCCTTAACCATCATTGTTCAAACAAGCAAAGCATGTACCCTTAAACCACAAGTAAGTACTCAAGGTGCTTGTGGAAATGTTGACCCCAGATGAATGACGCCTGGTGGATTTTGATCGGGCGGGTGTGCCCTTTTAGTGCTTTTCGTGGGGCTTCAGACCACTTTTGGAGGGGAACAGCAACCGAATCAATCTTTCCTTCCCACTATTGCATAATCAACAAGGGTTAATCATCCCTGGGTTCTCATTGAATCAGGTTACCCTTAGTTGGTGGCTTGAATTGGTCTAGATTTGAATTGGACCCCTTCTTGTAGAGGGTTTGTTCAGGAAACCGCTCCCTGAACACCTCCAAACCGGGCTCAAAACCACCAATTGGAGGGACGCTGATAATTGGTGGTTCGGCTTGGGGATTTTGAACCCGGGTTCCTTTTGAGACTGGGAAGGACCCCAAACCACCAATCCAACCTAAAAAGGTGCCACTTGAAACAACCTTTTCACTTCAAACTGGTTGTTTGTAGATTTCCTCACTCACCCGAAGCCGACCTTTTCACCTTTTGGTTTTCCCTGTTTGGTGCATTTGGCCCCCAAGGTTCGCCTTGTTCCAGGGCCTTGGGGCAACTGAGTCTTTTTCTAGATCGGGTTCAACCCGCCGGCCAGTTGGCTGTTGCTTCCGCTACTCACACGCACAGGCGTATGGTGTACTGGTGGGAAACGTACCGTGGTATTCTTTTGGGGGTGGCTTGTTCAACAGGTCATTGTGGGTCTGACCTTTTTGGAGTTGGTACCCCCTCTTTGGTACCCCTCTTTTGTGAATGTGTTATTTTGGCTTCCCACGGTCAACGGTCTACACAATATGGACCCAGCCATACAGAGCTGTTCCTGATTGCTGCTGTTATTCTCACTCCCCGAGCTTCTGGAGTCAAAACATTTTGGGAAAACCCGTTCAAGTGGCAAAGAATCAGTTTGGACAGTTGGCAAATCCGCTCAGTGTCAGGAAGCGAGTACATCTCAAGATTCCTTCATGGGATATAGCCCCAACATTGCGGTTGGTGATGCCCCTTTTTTTGAGGGTAGTTTGAGAATCGGTCCAGGCATACTCATATTAATTAATCCCTTATGCCCCAACCATTGGGCGGCTTGCACACATCGCCGGGCCGTCCTTGGCGGACTGGCTTGGATTTGCCAGGCCGGCATGCTGGCGCAGGGGGCCCAAGGAATCCGCGAATCCATTCAAAACACGTGAGAGAAAGGGACGATACCCCCAAAAAGCCACTTCCAGCACCCTTGGATAGTACTGGGGATTTTTGGACATGGGAAAAATCAATTGCTGGGATTGGGGGGTGCTGGTTGGGGATGGTTCTAAGGGTTGATTTTCCATCCTCGTCACCCATTGTTCCTTTAGACACCACCCAATTTCCCATGGTTTGGCAACCATTTTCTGAAAAAACCCTTACGCTTCTGGTGCATGGATTCTGTCGCAACAAGTCTGTTGTTTCCGTTTCTTTTCTTATTTCTTTTTTTGTTTGGGGGAGGGGGGGAGGGTGGGTCGTTTTTGCAGCCCCCATGAAGAAAAGGGCACTTGAAATATGTTCGGGTGTACCAAATATGAAACGTAGTCCGAACATTTTTATTCCCAGAGCTATCAACCCCCCCCCACCCCAACCACTCTCCCCCTTAAGGTATGGGGGGGTTCTTTCAGTGCAGGATTCCTTTTACAAGCCTCTTTTCAACACGAAAGGACAACAGGGGCCCCACAAGACCTCCCAACAATTGACAGGTCAGAACTTCTTCAAACAAGGCGACATCAGACCCCACAGGTTGAAAAGGTGCCTTGTGGCTTCCAGGGTTCAGACACCCACCGAATCGGGTGCAATCTTGTGCATCCTTTGGCTCCTGTGCCCGGCTCAAGAGGGAAACCCAAAAGCACACCGTTGCCATTTTAGGGCACCCGTCTGCCTTTGAGACAAACCCCACGTGTATTGCAAACTCCCGTGTAATTCGGCACCTACCTGTTTGGGAGGTTGTCCAGGTTTGAGACAAGCCCATGTCCTTGTTCGATGGTTTCGTTTGGGCAGCGCCTTTTCACCAGAAGTTCCGGAACCCTTTGGTTGAGCTTCCCTCGTTTTTGGGTGGCTTGGAGCCAAGTCTGCAGTTTGGAGGTTAGGGATTGTTTCCCATTTACCCTCTACAAGAACCAGGGGTTCAAATTCCCAACTCACCCATCCAAACTACTAACTATTTGTTGTTTGATGATGACGGGTAACTCCAATTGGTTGTTTGTTTTAAATTATTGGGATTTGAACCAATCGGAGGGAAGCCTTTGTGAAGTCAAGGGCAAATAGCGGATTAGGTGCTTATAGTTTTCACCCCCTAACAACAAGGTTAACCCCACATTCACGGGGGACTGAATTCTTCGGTTGTAACCTACATTACCAACAACCTATGAACTTGGCACGTGGAACACCCAAGTGTATCCCGCACGGGGAGGGCCTTGAACAAATTGGGGGCACCCCCTACAAAAAAAACACATAGGTTGGTTTCATCCCGGGTTCCCACGAACCTAGGCTGCATGCATACACCCATATGCTGCCAACCCTTGATACTATATATGGGTGTAGGTGAACAAAAACACACCAGGGGACCGCAGGTTTTGGTCCATGTTTCCACTTACCAGGGTTCCATTTTGGGAAACTATGTTTGACCCACAGCCATATAGAGAAGTAATCAAGCAGTAATTCTGGCTTACGTATGGGAAGTCAGGCTGGGAGCTTGGCTCGAGCCGAGGTCTCCGTACAATTCCGTGACCGATGTCATTGTCACCACGGATCGCGTGTTCCTGTGGCAGCGCCCGCTCTACAAGGCCGAACGGGGAGCAGGGATATGGCCCATGGTGCTTTATGGGCTTTGGGGTCATACGGCGGATGGACGAAATCCTGCACCAGGTTGAAACCATGGGAAGCCCATGGCTTTGCTGGTAAAAACAACAGGGGGAATTGAATCATTCCAGGGTTGTTAGAGAGGCGGATGAGTGGATTCTGTCCATCAGTAGCTTTGGTTTCCGGGGGACGCCAGAAACTGAAACTGAAACTGGGCGGTTTCCAACTGAAATCTGGTGCACCGCGCAGGCCGCATCGGCGCCTCATTTGGGGCTTTTGGTAACCGAGCCATGTGGGGGTTTGGACACCCCCCAGTGGCCGATCCGGGGTGACACTGGCCCATGGTCCTTTCTGTTGTTGTTTTTTTTTCTTTTTCTTTTTCTTTTTTTGTTTCTGCGGGTCAAAGTGAGACACTGAAACCGGGTGGGTTCCCAATAAGTCCACCAAGGGGTGATCAATTTGATGGCAAGTACTGAAGCCAGTGCTCACTGTGGTCACTAAATGTGAGCTAATGCGAACAGGATTCTGAAATGGGTCACCATGTGCAGCCCAGAGGCCTTGAGCGCTAGCCTCAACCTGCGGACGTCGGTGGGTCAAGATGTTCACACAGAATTTATGGCGAAGCAAGCGGCCGCCACAGTTACCATCCAATGACTCCCTGACTCACACACACACACTGCAGCCGTCCACCTCCAAATGCCTTAGTGTACAATCTCAGGAAATGAAAGCAGCGCAAACTGTACAGGTGGACCCTCAATCTACCCAAAAACCATGGTTTGTTCCTCCCCCCTCCAAAAAACATGGTTGGTGGTTTCCCTTTTTACGGGTAGTTTGAGAATCGGGGTGGCCTTACCTCAAAAGACGAGCCATTCGTTCCCCGTGCCTTTAACCCCTTGGGCGCACTCCCTCTGAGTTCCTTGCCATTTTGGCGAGGGGGAGACTGGGGTGCATGCCTCCATTTGCAACATGGCCATGGGTCAAAAGCCAAATCGGTTAGCCCCCAGGGAACATCCGATTCACTCCAACCACTAGAATAGGCAACCTAAAATGGGTGGTAGCAGCATATGCGCACATTATGGGGGAAAATCAGACCATTTTGGCACAACAATTCGGCATAATCATGCCATGTACGTGTTTACCATAAGCCAAGAATTGGCCATAAAACCATGCGCATTTCAGTGCCCAGTGTTTCTCAGATGCTTCACATGTGTTTCTAGCAAACACATGAGAAGCATGTGAGGAGCACAGAGCCATTATCCGCAGACTCATGCACATCCAGTATCATCGCTACACACATGAGGGTTGGTAAGTTGCCTGCATAGCTTCCACACATGTGCGTTGATTAAGTGCTTGATATGGTTACAATACAGTGAGCATTGGGTGAGTAGGCACTATGGTTGCGACACGCATGTGGTGCATTGTTTGCCCTCATTGGTTACATGTGTGCTTCTTCTGTGTGTGCATGTTCATATTACTGAGAAGATTGACATGTGCTTCTGACATGAAACTCCTGTGCTGAAGAGCTGAGCACAGGAGTTGCATGTCCAAAGCACATGTTACATGCCAACATGGAACATGCCCTGGCGCAAGCAGCAGCTGCAGCGGCTTGCCCTGCAGCATGAGGAGGTCTGCCTGGCGCATTTGCAAGTACAGCTACATGTTTCAGAGCGCATGGTTTCTTAACTAGACACCTCCAATCACTCAGGAACTCCAAGCCACATGTGCTAAGCAAAGCCACTGTTTTGCTATCAATTAAGCTTTGAGAAGGAGGGGCAGGACCGCATGGAAAGGCATGGTGTTGAAAGCCCACGCCAGGCAAGGCAGAGCTACTGCCTGCACAGCACTGAACTCAGAAAGAACATCATGGGTTGCACTGCCAGGCCACCTCACATACAACTGGGAGTTTTGCCTGTTGACCTATTGGTCCAGTAAACCACTGGAACACTTGACCACTGGAACACTGGGCCACCTTGCGACAGTTGGAACCGTCCCATCACAGCCCTTAATGGCAAGTACAGCCACCAAAAACAATGAAATTGTTACATGGATTGCTGGACCACCATCATGCCGCACAGTTGGAGCTCTCACATCAAGAAGCTGAAATTGTCCACCTGAGGTTAAGAAGACCCTGGTCCCAGCGGCTCTGCAGGGTGCTGGCCCCAGTGCAAAGCCTCCCTGAGTTCTCAAGGTCACCCAGCAAAAAAAAACATAATATTTCATTCTTGCCCTGCAGTTGCACAGCAGTTTCAACCTCTCTGGTGACCCCTGCTTAAATGTGGCAAGACTGTCCGCTGGTCCCATGTTGAGTGGGCCAGTGAGTGCTGATGGTTGCTGGACACCTTTCAGACCAACTTCTAAGGGCCCGACCCTAAGTAGTGCTTCAGACACTTGGGTTTGCATGTGGGAGCATGATGTGTGCCCAGTGGCCGTCAAGTGGATCCAGTGCATCAAGTGGATCCAGTGCCACTTCAGGAGCCATGGAGATGCCATCATCGGCCCCAGCATCATCCGACAGTGCACATGAGCTCCGCGAGGTGTTGGACGCCATAGGCTCCCTCCGTGAGGAAGTTGCCAGTCTCAGGGCCGATCTTACTCAGCTTGAAGCTCCTGATCCCCGAGTTCCTTTGCCCCTGCTCCTTGTGTGGGCTTTCCTGGGTGGAGGCATCACCTTTACGATGATCGTTGGCTACATTTTCCATTTTACACATGATTGCTGATCCTGTCAAGTGGAAGTGGATCCAGGACAAGAGATCAAGTGGATCCAGGATGATAAAAAAGGGCACTTTGCACCGGGCTGAAATCACATGAGTGGCAATACATATATATGTATACATGGGGTCAAGTGAACCATCTTCAACAATTATGGAGCATCCTTCTACTCGAGTCCTTGTTGGGCCAGTGTTGGCTGCCCATTGGTAGTAGTGCCTCCCTTCCCCCGGCCCAGGCCTCCACGTGGACTATGGCAAGCTGACCAAACCTCAGAGTGCACGTGCACACACAAGTCACAGTGTTGGCACATGGATGAGTCTTGGTCACAGTGAGCGTGTGTTTCTGTAGCCAGCATGGACCCTACCCATGAGGAAATGCATTTTTTCAAAGAGTGGGGTGCACTTCCTCTGACCCAACTGCTTTGCAGTAGCAACACATCATAAAGAGCATCCAGGCAATGAGCAGGCAGCAGCCTGCAAACATGACTGGCAATTCAAACATGATGAAGCCCGGGCGGGCCTCCTTATGCTTGGATTGCCCAGTCATGTTTGAGCGCATGCAAGTTGGCTCCATGCACCACAGAAACATGGACAAGACATTGCAGGAAAACACACAAATCCTGATTGGGTGATTTGGCGATTATAGAGGCACTTGTGTCCTTTTAAGTGACCCGGCCCTGCTGTGAGGTCACTGGCCACGAGCCGGGTGTTCTCTGCAGAGGAGCTGGTGCATGCGATCAGCCTCAAGTGCAAGCCTTGCGACCTGCGTTTGGCCCACGCACATAGATGTATATACGTGTGTATGTGAATGTTCTGTAGGATATGTCATATGACGGTAAACATGGCACGCCCGGCCTTGCACTCCAAAGCGTCAGGTTTGATCTGCTTGCTCTGAGCGGCCTGCACTCCATTGCATGGGCAAAGGTTTACAAGTGGAATGGTCATGCACACCTTCTTTGCTGGGGAACCCGGAACACATGGTTGAAGAGGGAGAGTTGAGCGCCATGAATGATTCATGCATGCAACTGGCCAAACAACGACTACTTCCAAATCAAGCCTCCGGATCCGAACCAGCACAAGGGCCTGCAAACACTGCAGCACACACACACGCACACAGCACGCGCAAAGACGGACCTGGCCTGCTGATGCAACAGCCTGCTTCGCTTGCTCCAAACGGCCCTTGAAATGCTTCTTGTACTGATCACTGAATTCAAAATTCATCGACGGCGCCGTTGCCAAATGCTGCAACGTGGACTCCAGGCAATCAGGCGGAGCCATGTGCGGGAGAGTCGTCGAGACCTGCTTTTGCTTAGCTTGGGTCGGGCCTTCGGGAGCAATGTCAAAAGGCTGGGTGTCCACGTTGTCGACTGGCGAACCTGGAAGCAGGAGATATCACATTGGACCGTTGAGCCCTTGCAAGAAAACAAGAACGGCCTGTGAGCTCAAGATGTTTCTTGCCACGCGAAAACTTCTTGGAGGGCAGGTTGAGCCCAACAGCGTCCTTGAAAACTTGCAGCCAATCACGGTCCTTGCGTGCCACTGCATGCATGTTTCACAGAAGACCCAATGTCAAGAACTGCATGCGCACGAACCGCAAATCCCAATGGTCTTTCTTGACGTCTTCGCCTTCTTTGCCTGCCTGATCACCCAGCTAGCCTGGGCAGCAGAAATTGCAACAAATGCCACACATGCAGTTGAGGGAGGCGCCATGGACTTCAGAGCACATGCTTGCTCATGCTATCAACATGTGTGTGCACACACACACATAGGTATATATATATATATGCACCAGGGTGGACTTGAACCACCATCTCTACCCGCGGCTAGCAGCCTGACAGGAGGTTTCACGGAGTATTCGGACGAATACTCCGTGAAACCTCCTGTCAGGCTGCTAGCCGCGGGGTAGCGCCTTGCCCGTTAGACAACTGGCACTGTTGCATTCATTCAGAGTGCCGGGACAGACATGTTGCGTGTGATGTGGAGATCGACGCAGGAGCAAGACATCCCAGCCACAGCTAAGGCGGGCTGCCGCCAGATATCAGGCAACACACATATATATATATATATATACATATATATATATATATATGTATATATATCTACATATGTATATCTTTCTATATGTATATATATATATATATATATTATATATATATATTATATACATATATTGTGGTTGGCAGTGTGTGTGTGTGTGTTACCACACATGTGGCTGAACGTACAGTTTTGCAGTTGATGGAAGTTAACCTTGCTATTCTCATCCAAACGAAACATGATGTCGGCTACCTGTGCCGGTTGGCAGTGCTGCGTTCAGTATTCCTCAGAGTTGTCAGCTTGGCACGCCGGGCAGGCCAAGCCGCCGGACATCCCAGCCATCACGCAGGCCGTTGTTGTTTGGGTGTTCTTTGATCGTGGTTCAGGGTTTTTTGCTTTTCAACGTGTAGGCCCAGATCACGGAGACGGTGATGGAGGCCAGGTTGGTTTCTCGCTTGCTCCACGCAGCAGAAAAATCTCCACACAGGCCATCCCAGGGGACTCATGCAGAGCTTGAAAAGGGGACTCATGCAGAGCTTGTGCGCGTGGTGCCCGGCTGCAGGCCCAGATCACGGAGACAGTGATGGAGGCCAGGTTGGCATCGTGCTTGCTCCACGCACTGTGTTGTTTTTCTGCACACGGGCCATCCCAGAACCGCCTGCTCCTTTGGAGGCTGATGTTGAAAAGGGGACTCATGCAGAGCTTGTACACGTGGCGCCCGGCTGCAGGCCCATGTGCAGATCACGGAGACAGTGATGGAGGCCAGGTTGGTCTCTTGTAGAAATCTGCACACAGGGCATCCCAGAACCGCAATGCTGATGGTGCGTTGGAGGCTGATGTTGAAAAGGGCACTTGTTCAGAGCTTTGTGCGCGTCCGGCTGCAGGGCCAGATCCTGGATTGTTGTGCCAAGT